CTGTCTTTTGCGCTTGTTCATGTTGATGAGCGATGAATATTTGTTGTTGACTTTCCTGTTCTTGTTGTTGCTGATAGAATGGGGATGTACTAGTGTCGTCCTTGGATATTGATGATGATTTGGTATTTTGACGATTAAAATGAGGGGATGGATGGGGTATGCCACCAGGTGTTAAACGCGATACAGAAGGAGGACTTGTTGCAGTAGACGGACGAGGAGTGCCTGGTGGATGATATTGCTGAGGTGTTTGTGGTTGGTGATCAAAGTTTGGAGCATAATGTGGGCTAGAATATGAAAAAATTATCGATTTCATAAGAAAATTATAGTATAGTGAATATATGACTTACTCAGATTGGGGTGGAAAACTAAAACGAGACGGTTGCGGCTTTGTTGCGACAACTTGTTGCGGCTGTTGAACTGTGTAAGAATTTGAGCGGATTATCATCGAGTTATATGAATCAGACGAAGGATGATTGAATACATGCTGTTGTTGCATTGGCGGTTTATGCTGAAATTCGGATGAATCTAAACAAATACAAAAGATTTTTATAGTCAGAGAATACCAAAGTTAATAACAGATTTGTCGATAAAAACAGTACATGTCTTCTAGTAAGTAAGTACATACCATGTCTATTATTTGTTTGTTGTCCAGACACACTATTTTGCTCATTCATCAAAGATGGCGGTGCTGTTTGGGGTGTTAACGGGCCACTGGATATGGGTGTCATTGCTCTTGGTGATTGTTGTTGTTGTTGTTGTTGTTGATGACGTGCGACGGCTGTGGGTAATCGAGCTTGATTTTGTCCTGAGAAAAAAGTTGTTCGTTGTTGTTGGGTCTGGTTAGTTAGAGCACCGTTTGGACTTGATGAACTAAAACGTTGTAATGGATATGAAGATTGTGGCATTTGCTGTTGCCTGTTCATTTGCTCATACGACGTTTGTTGGTCTAACGTGGATGGTTGTTGTTGGTAATCGAAATTATTTCCAGTGTTGTCAAGAACAGATGCAGGTGTGGTTGCTGATAAAGAAGAAGGAGTAGAAGATGATTCAGAATCATCATCACCACCACTTTGCGTCGATAAATGATCAGACGTATCCGACGCAGCCATCGGTGTCGATTTTGAAGATTTGGGTTTACGATTTCCCTAAATTGAACCAACAAGAAGACATACAAATATGCTGAAGAACATTACTCCAAGCTCCTAACATAATCGGCATCGAGGAAACAGTCTGTAATTCCAAGTAAATCGGGTATGATAGTAAAACATATAAATATTCTCTTTTTGGATTAACAAAATTTCAAGAAAATATAAGATCAATCATTTCTACAAAGTTTGCCATCGAAGCTGATGAAAGTATAAAAAATTTGGTTGAATTATTAGTTGTAGCCGATGGTAGTTGTAATTCAATATGCTATTTGTTTTGAACATAGCGACTCTCTGGGAAAACATTCATGGAGAATATTTATGCGTTTTACTGTAGTTATATCTGATCTTGTTTCACTTACCGTTTTTCCTCCTGTTATTTTACCACGTTTTTTTGTTCTATTTATTCTAGCCTGTTGTGTATATTGTTGTTTGGTTTCTGATGGTACTTTACGCCAGATTTTCTTTATTTGTTTGAAGCGTTCGTTAATATCTAAATATACGAGATCAAGCTATTTGATATTAGCTAACTGAGAGAAAGAGAACATACACATTGATCCCAACACAAAAAGAGAGCATTGCAATCAAGAACAAAACAAAATGGCAAATGAGCAGTATAGCAAAAATTACAATTCTCTCTCCATTCGAGCTTGAAAATGACAATAATAACATAATGAAATAACTAACCCTTGCTAAAAAAAGTAATCTGTTTTGTATCTACTTACAATAACAACTGTCATAGACGTAGGGAGCAGAATAATGAACAACTGAAAACAAATACATTTATATGAAACTTCGCAAAGGGAGTTCAATCACTAGACATAAATTCAAAAATTCAGGTGTTGAACGTTTCTTCTCATAGAAAAAATGGAGGTATTTGTGTAAGGACCATAAACTGTTGCAGTCTGAATGTAAAATTATAGAACTAACTCCAAATTTGTCTGTTTGATGTGTTTTCTGTACAAGATTTCAGTTGCCAAATAAAGTAGGAATTAAATCATGCAGCAAAAGATACAAAAAACGAAATAATTGTCAATATAACCATCTATTACTACTACGAGACTATATAAATAGGTGCTGAACATTTTTGTTACCTGGAAATTGCTGTCGTAAATCTGAATGATTCATATTACAATAAAGTACATTTGACATTGTTGCGTTTGGTCCTAATAATTCATCTTCTCGAGTGCGTTCTAATAAATTTTGTTCACTTGTTGCTGACGAGCGAACTGTCTGTGGTTGATGATGTTGTGGTTCGACAACAGACATGGATGGAGCACGAATCAATTGCTGGGAGGCTGGTGGCCAGTTTTGGGGTAATTGCGGTTGCTGTTGGAGTAGATGATGCGGATGAACATGATGATCTTGAAATCTGAAAGAAAATTATGGTAAACTAAAGAATTGTTCCCACAATCCAAAACAGTGAATCCAAAAAGTTGTTTTGGACGATTAAAAGATTTAAGATTACGTTTATTGAGGGAATCTTTTTTCACTGATAGTACAATTCAATGATAAAATATTTTTTGATACTGATCACGCATCCCATTTCAATTGCGCTTGTCAGACATTTTTAATTACTGTCGCGTAGAAACGGAATCTCTGGAACTCGGTGCGAGACTTTCGAGTGAACAGATTCTGATACATTCAGACTCAGAATGTGTCGAGTTACATATGTGGAAAAGTTTTCATTAAACGAACAAATCCTCACAAAATACCGACATTTTATTTTTGAATGAGTGGCAGTTCAAACCTCTACAGCATTTAACAACCTCATAAGCTTTAAATAGCTGCGAGAGCTTGGCTGTTCGGTCTTTCCACATATCTAACTCGACACACTCTGTGTCTAAATGTATAAGAATCTGTTCGCTCGAAAGTCTCGTATCCAGTTTCAGAGATTCCGTTTCTGCATGACATTAATTAAAAAGGGCCTAGCAAGTACAATAGAAATGAGATTCGTCATGAATATCAAAAAGCAAATTATGAAAAACCGTGCTATCATAGAAAAATTGATTAGTAACTTGGGAAGAATTCATCGTAAGAGAGATGCAGCACGAACTAACTCACTCTTGTTTAATCATGCATGTTGTTGGTGGTGTTTTTGTTAAATGTCCTCCTTGCACCCCTGATTGCTGTGGTGTACAGACGACATCGTGAATGGTTTGCTGAGATTGTTGTCTAAGAAACTGCGTCGTTAAATCTTGGTTGTTATTGCTATTATTTGTTATTTCTGCAAATGGCGATTCATTAGGTAAATCAAAGTTTGTATTCGATGTTATAATCGTTTCAGTAGGCAAGATGGTCGACGTGGGTGGTATTTGCTGTTGTTTTGGTTTAGCAGGTAGTGGTTTTTGATTAGCAGCTGCTACTAAAACAGTTGATTCCATCATTTCTCGAGCTAAATTACTAATGATCTGTTTGGAGTTGTCAACGATCGAACCGCCAGTAGTAGATGAAGAAGTAACACCTGTTGACGGTGAGTTTGTATTCGCCACAGTTGCTGTGCTACTACTTGTACTACCAATAAGATCGACAGCTAAAAAAAGTAGGAAAAATACTTTTGTCAAGGAGATTTAGACTATGACCAACGTGAAAATAATAACCCTCATCACTCCAAATAGTCATGTGATTGCGATCTGGAAAGCGATCTATAACGCACTATCACTCATTTCAATATGAAAACTCTCACCTTGTAAAACACCATGTGCTTCTGGATTAACGATGAATTCAAGAAATTCTTCAATATCGGACGCTGGACCTAAAATGGCAAAAATTAATTGCTTCAACAATCCTTGTTTTTTCTAAAATCATTTTACTTACATAATGGTAATAGTGGATCCTGTGTAGTCGTTCTTGACGTATCCATGAAACTTATAAAATTGTAAAATTCTTCATTGTCCAATATATGCTCTAAAAAATTGCAAACTTCACTAGAGCTCAGCTTCTTAAAAGGTAGTCAACTACATTCAGCTTTCTCTTCCAGAAAAAAACCTTATATCCACCCTGCAGAGATGCCGAGCGATAAATGCTTTTGATCGCAGTTTGAACAACAGGCTAAACTTACGCATTTCAGTTTCATCGTCTGGTGGTGTTGTAGAAATCGGTGGCTGTGTCAAAACTGTTGTCGTTGAGCCAGAAGGTTGTTGTTGCTGTTGTGAGGATGACTGCTGTGTTGGTTGCAAGCTTGTATGTGACTGAGCCGGCACCTGATGAGGTTGATTGTAAGTGGGATGAGATTGCTGCTGTTGTTTTTCTTCTTTAATACCCATGGCCGGTGTTGTCGTTGTTTGGTTATTCTTTGTTGCTTTTCTCATTAGAAATCGTGTGATGGTATCTTGATCCAATTTAATCGTATACTGGAATTCGTCAGCAGCTGAGTTTGGTGTCATTGAATCACTGTTATTTGCCAAATTCGCCGTTGATTGATCGCCACCAAACAAATCGTTTGTACCTTTCAGCGGATTATTTTGTTTCGTCAGTGCTTTCATACGACTCTGCTCCGCTAAATTACTGCCAAAAAATGCTTCCTAAACACAAATTAATAGAGAAGATTGTACTATCATTCTTTCGTGTTAAGTGTGACGAATTATTAGAAACAAATATCATATAAAATTATTCCTTAACGGAAGACGCTTCTGTTTATAGTATTGAAGACTTCTCTCGTATGTGCAATATGTGAATTACCTGCATCTCTGGTGGCATATGTTCTTCTAGAATACTTTTTTTCTTTCGTCTATGTCTGTTTCTTTGTTTTACAGCTGCTGTCATATTTCCATATTCATCAGTTGTTTTGCCATTTCCACCTGTATCCATCTGATTCTCGTACAATAATAAATCAGTGCCATTGCCATTCATTTCGTTAAAATCAGGACGACGCCGTTGACCACGAATTTTAACATGAAATCCACCAATACCTAAAAATATAAAAACAGATCTGAATATCATATCTGAACATTTTCGGTACTAATGGCGCTGAAGGTTTCACGATCTCTTAACATTTTTTGCATTATTTGCAAAGTATATATAATAATCGTTCCTAGACGTGCGTTATAACATAATAATAAATCTATCATCTTTTCTTATGATTTGTCAAAATAATCATCATGTTGAAGTTATCGTCAACAAATTAAAGAGGGTCTGAGCCTAATAATTAACGTTACATGAAACATACCCGTGTAACCTTTGGCAGTTTTTGTTGCGGTCTTTTTTGTTGTCGCCGTCGTTTGATCATGTGCGTCTTGATGTCCATGTTGTCCTAGATGATGCATGCCATGTGCATGATGTTCATCATCGGACGTGCAACTCATATCATCTTCTTGTCTCTCGGACATTGAACTTGAATTTGTTCTTTTGATACCCATGGCGGATAACATTTGTTGTTGAGATTGTCCACGTTGAAGTAAAACTTGTTTCATAGCTTGTTTTGCTTTTTTCGTGTGCGCGTTAGGTTTGAAACGAATCGATTTCAAATGAGCAATGCCTAAATATTCAACAGAAGTTATTGAGTCTTTCCATATTTTTCATATGATTTTCTAGTAAAAATTGTCCCTCAAACCAACCTGTATCTGTCAAATAAACTCCTTCATCTAATTTTGATGGTTTGGGTATTGGAAGATGAGGTACAAGTGTTGATATAGTTGTCGAATTAAGAACCGTATGTTCTGTTTGTTGAATTTGTTGATCGGGCGATGATTGACAACTAGCCGTCTGCGGTGGTTCAATGGTTGGCGAAAGGAGCTGAGTGGAAGACTGTTCGAGTAGATGTTGTTGATCATATGTTGGTTTACATAGTGAGCAAACAAATGAAAGATCGGTTAATTTCTCTGCCATTTCTTCAGTATGAATATTTTCACATGCTGCATGGCACCATCGATCACAATTTGTACATTGTAATATCAGTTCATCATTACGATAAGATTTTGTACATAAAGGACAGACCACTAATGAATGACACGGTCCACACTCAGTATAGTTATTTTCCCACAGACAGCCAGTGCCAGGCGCCGTTGAACCACATTTTAAGCAACGAACACACCTTAAATTAAAACCAAAAAAAATATCATATCAGCAAAAATTTGTGTCCTGATTTTACATACCATTTGCATTTCCAATTTCCTTTTGGCACATGATCTAGTGGTGGTTGCAAACAATATGTGTGGTATGATATGTCGCAATCATCACAAAGTAATAATCGAGATTCATCCGTAGGCTTACCACAACCTTCACATACTGTGCAATCTAGACATCGCCAACCTTGTTTTAATATCACCTTTGATAGCTAAAAGGATAACATTGATAATCTTTGAAAATTATTAAGAAAAAAAGATTAATTTTTTTACTTAAATGTTAAATAATCGCGAAAAATAGTTAAGGTCTCCTCCCAGGGTCAGAAACCTATCTCAGTCCAGGTGGGTCTGATTTGAAGCAAACTTTTAGGGAATATTTACCATGTTAAAGTGTGAGAACGAAATTTTTTTTAGCGCCACTTACAACTGTTCGTGGAAAGGCGCCACAACAAGGGTCAAAAATACGTGCAAGAATTTTCATTTCAGGTAAATGATAGAGAGCTCGGACTGTTTTTGTTTTGCAGTAAACACCTACGGCTAGGACTTGACAGAACCCGATTTTTGAATTTCTCATTTGCTAATTTCTGGTACTTAATAGAACATTAAAGTCCGAAAAAGCCTTGGAAAGTTTCTTAGAAATCCTCATTTCTATAAAAAATGAAAGCTCAATTTAAAACTCTGGCTCTGTCAACTCCTAGCTTTAGGTGTTATCTCCAAATCAAAAAAATTTCTTTCTCTAATGTACCGTTACCGAGAATTCCTGCACGTGGCGAGTCTTGACGTTAAAAAGCAGTCTTAAGTCAAACGCAAAATAAGTTTTGATTTTGTTAAATCCATTTTTCTTAAAACCTCTTTGAGCGTTAAATAATTTGTTGATATTTTGCTATAGGTTATCGGCCATGGCGGATCTAACGAACATGTGCGACACGTGCCTGCGTTCGTGCAATACATCACGTGCCTGCGCTCATGCAATACATGTGCAAAAAAGCCATTTGTTTTGCTATGGGGCCTCTGGAAAATTCGTTCAAAACCTATTCTATCGACACAAAAACTATGCCATTAGACAGTAGACACTGTAGGGTATCCAACCATGTGCTTTTCTTAAAGTCGATATTTTTGACGAAAATCGGCATTTCTGACCCGGAGGGGGAGGCTTAACTAACATACTTTATTTAATCCAGCACAATATGGATGATAACTTTGCCCACATTGAGTGCATGATATCAATCTTCCTTCTTCACTTAAACCAAAACTACCACAACTAACACACATATCCTAAAAAGTTTCGAAGATTAAATTAACTTTCATGACACAGGTTAAAGTGATGTAACATACCTGGCAAAGTGTATATAGTTCATCTGTTGAACACAAAACGGTAACAGCATGATGTTCATCTTCATCTCGCTTGACAACGCCAACCGTATAGCAACCTAATTCTGCTGGCTGATTTGACATCGGCTAAAAGAGATCATACAATATAGTACAGATGTAAGAAATGCTTTAATGCTTACATTATCATTGGTATTCATAGAATTTCCAGTTTGTCCTTCTTTTCTATTTTTAGGCGGTCGACCCCGACAATTTGTTGAACGTTGCTGCTGTTGTTGTTGCTGATTCACAGCCAGAGGAAGCGGACTTACTGACGACGGTGTTGGAGAACCAGCACGACGATTTGAGCCACTATTTAAGGCCTGTAAAATAAAGAGAAAAGAATCGTAAAAAGAAAGTTTAAGACTAAGTTTAAATAAGTTAAATCATACCCGTCTCGCTCGTTTTTTACTTAATGTATCTGTGTTTGTATAAGCCTGACATGGCTTAACGCCTTTGCCAGATTTAGCAGCGGCTTGAGCACGCGTTGTCAACGGTTTTGATGATGATATTGGATGATGAGATGGTTCCTAAAACAAAACATTTCGGAAAACTTAACCAACAAGTAATCAAACTATTCCAATAAATTAATTGTATCAAATGAAAAACAACGTTTTTAAAACACTATTCGATGGTAAATATTTCATTTTTTTTACCTGTTTAATGGCTCTAAAACCCATGAGCTCTTGGCTAGAACCTGATTCATCATTGTTTCTCGTTGTTGTTTGTACTGTAACACGCGGTAATGATAATGGTTCAAAGAGCAGAGTATTAGATGAAGATGATTCCATTCCTGTTAGTTGGCCTTTGCTCTCCTCATCTAAACTATTTTGATTTGAATTCATTTGATATTCTAACGATGACTGCTGCGTATAATCAATATTGGCTTTACGTCCATCGGTGCTGGAAGAACTCTTGAAAAGAAAAATATCCCAAAAGTTTGATTGAAAGTAATATATCAAATATCTTACATTTGTTTTCCGAAATTTGATCGTAAATCTATTTAAATTTGATGTGGATGATCGATATATACCGGCACTCAATCCTCCATCAATTTCATTCTCAAATTCTTCGTCGTCATCTTCAATTAACTCTGCTATTGTCGATGTGTTTGTTGTAGCAGTTGTTGTTGAACTACATAATCGGCACATGTAAGGTTGAATACTCGAATCATCGTCATAATAATCATTACCAATATCTGGAGACAACGTAGAAGTTGGATCACATGTCAGATGCAAATATCTAAAAAATGTTCAAGACATAAATACATACAGTTGTAAGCAAGGAACTTATTTCTTACTTTTGACATTGTGAACATTGTCTAGATGTTCCCTGTTTGGTTATATGTTGTTGACATACTGGGCATAATTGTTGTTGTTGTAAAGATAAGCAACTTGAGCATTTCCAACCATCTTTTGGTATTTTAGATTCCGGCATTTTCATACAAAATGTATGATAACCTTTGTCACATGTATTGCACATAATCATTTCGCTCTCATCACCCGTTTGCCTAGAGTCAAATGTGTAAAGAAAATATAGTATGTAAAATGTGCAATATCGTGATTCCTTACCTGCATGTTTGACAAACTTTACAATCGGGACATTTCCATCCCGTTCGAACAACAACATTTGCTTCTAACATTAGACAATCGCAATGATAATGTTTATCACAATTGGTGCAAAATAAATGAGTTGATATATCACCAATTTGACCGCATGCATGACAACGAGCTGATGAATCAACTAAATACAGAAAACAACTCTTCATGAACGTTTGTGTATCTTTAAGAATACTAGTATTCTATTTTTCTGGTTATAATCACCAGTCCCGTGCAAACTTCTCCCGATGAATGCTTACATAAAGAAGTTACATGTTGTAAGTGTTGTGAACATATCATTTCATATTTTTGATGATCAAAAAATGCTCCTGACGTTATACCACATGGCCAATGAAAATAATTTTGACATGTCGATAATTTACATTTTAATGACCCACCATAATACTGACAAACAAAACATTGCTAAAATAAATTAAAATAAATAATGAAAAGAAAACTGTTTCTTTTTTTCTATGCAATATACCTGATTCGCTGCATTCAAAACAGCCTTATCAACATTCAATAATTTCCCCGTTATTTTATCGACAGAAACACCATTAGACCATCGTGCACACCGATCATGACTCCAAAATTCACCTGAAAGAGCAACCATTCATAATGAGCATTTTTAATGCAGTTTATTTTATTCTGATAATTTAGGTAATTATTAAGTTTACCATTTTGTTTAATTAAGTTGGATAATTCTCGTCCACTTTTCTGAAATCCAATGTGTAACAACTCTTCATCCACGGGTATTAATGTTTTATCATCATCTTTTATCAGTAAAAAATTTGAACGTTTTTCCAATGGAATATCACTGTAAAATGAACAAGAATAAAAAAGAACAAATTTAGATCCATCAGGTATAAATAATTGTAATTGTTACATACTCTATCGTTCGTGTGAAAGTGAAAGAAGATTTTGTTTCATCTGTTTGTTTTTGATCCTGTTGTTGTGGTATGTAACGTGTTGTTGTAAATAATATCAATTCACCTTGTCCAAGGCTGCACGTCGAATCACATGAACAAAATGAACATTGATTATGAACATGAGAAGATGAACTAAACAAACAAACAATCAATAGAAAATATTTTTCCGAAATTTGTTTAAAACGATGTATATGCTAATAGTTTTCTTATTAAACTCGCTTTTTATTCTTGTTTATATGATTAACTCCACTTTACCATTGTTTTATATAAAAAATAGTTTAACAGCAACTTTAATTGAACGAGTTAAATGCAAAAATATCCCGAGAGAAAATTTATGTGTACTGCTTACTTATTCATCGACGCTGTATTGTCAGATAATCTTGCAATAATAACTAAAAAATAATGAATAGAAGTACAAGACGTTGAATTTTAGATCAAATGATTGCTACCTTTTCCTTAAATTTTGTTCACAAAAATTGATTAATCAATCAATTTTGTGTAATATAAAATAGCAAGACGACAAAATGTTTTTGTAAAAATGAATTGGCCAAACTAAAATAAATATTTTCTAGTTAGTGATACTCTTGAACAAAATTATTAACAAAAAAAAGTAATTATTCTTAAATATTATTTAATTCTTAGACTTGGATTAAGATGACGATTTAAATGTTCAGACGGTGAGAGAAGAAATTGAATCAAAAGTGTTTAGTTTTCTCATTAAATCTTATCTGCAAAACGAAATCGGATGGTCAACATAACGCAATTAAACATAAGTTATATGACAGACTGTATTTCGCAATCTTTTTTACAAGGAATACAGACGAATGAAAAAATATTTTATGTTTACATACTGTATCAAAAATGAATATCTTGTTTTAAAAATAAAATTAACATTTGTAGCCATACAAACAAATTCATATGATGCTAGAAAAAATAAATAAATATATATCTTTATAATAAATAATATTTTTGTGATCATATTTCGCTTCTTTTCTTAAAAAGTACTCATTTTCAATTTCGAGCAAACACACCTAGTTATTAATCATAATACGATTTAATTATTCATAAGGATTAAATAAAAATTAAAATATCGTTGAGAATAAATAGAAGAAGCTTATATTAAATAAGAAATAAAGAAACAAATAATAAAAAACTGTTAAAAAAAAAACGAAAAAATGTATAGATCTAAAATATTAAAAACAAACATATTTTAATAATTTCTCTGGGAATTTAAATTGGCATGATCAATCAAGCGTGCAGTATTGACAAGGAATTTTTTTTCATAAAGAATATTGATTTTTCGTTAACAATTGATGTATGTTATATACACAAGAAAATAGTATAAGTATTAACGATCTTCCATTTCAGTAATTAATTAGTGGTTTAATTAATTATCGGCATATTGATTTTGTTGGCAGCCATTTTAATTAATTAGATAGTCTACCGTCGTGAAGAAGTTTCTCATCGGATATGATACATCTCTCAACCAATTAGACTGTGCACGATAGAGTGCGCTATTTTACAGAAAATCTTTTAGATATCAGTGAATAAACGCATCACAATCGTATATTGGAATGATAAACTACTTGCACTGGTATGATTTTCTAACGCTTTAGAAGAGTAGTCCTATTTAACTATACATGAGAAATTATGAAATATCGACCACAAATATCTTATCCTAGTAAAGCTCTGTCTGTCAAATGGTGTTTACTATTTCGTTTACTATTATTCTTTTTTGTTTTTTCTGTTACATCATTAATAAACAGCTTAGATCAAACTCTGTCTATCTCTGCGAAGTCCGGAGAAACTTCCTAAACACTGAAAATCTGTAGTATAGTTGGACCAGATCTTTTTTGTTTTATCATAACTATATTTTTGTAATCTTCACCATACACCCTTTGGGTATTGGTGTTATTAACTAACTAACACACCTCAAGTTTTTAGGAGCACAGCCACTTCGTACAATTTCTGATAAAAAAGTGGAGTAATGATCAGTTTAAACCACAAGTTTTGGGGAAAAGTCGAGGTGAATTGATCATAATCTGGTTTGACTTGGTCCCGAATTGACCCGCTCCCCCTCCCCACAGAGGTCTGATCTTTGACAATATCCATTCACCAATTTATTCTGTTACCTTATGTGCCATATAAGAACTACAAATTTTCGAAATAATTTTCAAAGTTTTCATGTCTGTTAAACATATTTTTAGTTATTGACACACACGATGTTGGTATGTATATATTATTAACGACTCAATTGAAACTTCTTGTAGCAAAATCTTCAGCTTAAAAATTCAACAACTAGATGTAAACTACAAAAATTTTAAGCTAAAATACCAAAAAAAAGTCAAACATGTTGGTAAAATATCGATAAGATTGTACACCAATTCTCACATCTAATCAGTAAGTATTCATTACACAACTAGCAGCGCCTACAATATAGTTGAGCGAATATAAATGACATATTGTTCACTTATTCGCATATTATAAGATTTCATTGATCGCAAAATCAACTTTTGTTTTGAATTAATACCACCTAGTATGTAAATATTTTCACCTAAATAGAAACACTAACTCAAATTTTATAAAGGGATTCAAAATCCATCAGTGTTTTTATGTGAGGTTTTTATATAGTAGAAAAATCATTTATAAAATATGGTTGTGCTTAAATCTTATGATTTCAACTAATACTAACCAAGTACTTCTGCACAGATATTATGTCTAGCATGTCTCATGTGAGCTATTGTTTTCCATGAATCTGTTGTCATTTCATATTTATCGATTAAATTTGAACTTTGCATTTTTGATCTATTGTCTGCTTCTGCGCATCCACCCACAAGAAAAAAACCTTGATTTTGTTGTGATTAATTGACTATGACAACGATGAATATCTAACGGATTTTTTTTTATCCAACTGCAATTCAGTAGACAGAAACAAAGCTTAAATCTTGTAAATGGAATATATCAACAAAATCTATTTACTTGTTTTCGTCGTAATCAAACACTGTAACATTGGCTATGGATGGTTGCATTTTTAAACTACAATAACCACCCACAATGAACAGTTTGCTCTTAAATGATCGTACTGAGTAACCCAGACGAGGCGATCTCAAACGTTTTATTAATTTTCAGTTATTCAACTCGAGATCATAATATTCTACCGTTTGAATAATACTTAAAAAAAAAGAGTAAAATAAAAGAGTTTAATAGAAATATCGTAATTCATTCATTATATTAAAAATAATTGAAAGTTTTGAGTTTTGTTTTCTATAATCTCGTTCAATAGAGAATCCGACAAAGTTATTCTTACTTGCCGTCAATTTCCAGTCCTCCCACGACCCATATTTTATTATTTAACACTGTACATCCAAAGTATAACTCGGCTTTCGATCATTGATGAAATTTGTTTCCACAATTTTTGCTCAAGTGAATAATAATAATTTGTTAATGCAATTTGCTCTTTTTCAAACGGATGCGACATAGAAGAAAAAAAACAGATGTTTTGTTCGTAAAATTCAATACTAACAAATCACATTTACCAAGAATATAAATATATCTTTTTAAATAAATTATTTTATGATGATGTCTGTTGTCGGGTAAATGTGTGATCATTGACCAAGTTTGATTTTCTTCATTGAACGTAAACAAACCAGTTTCTAATAATAAAACAGATTTGGTCATTCTACATAATGAAATACTTTGAAAGTAAAATACCCAATGGCCAAATCTTCTACGTGATCAGTCTTACCAAAACAAAAAAGGCCCGGTTTATTTAAATAATGTTTAAACCCGTTTTTCTCTGAATTTTTGAAGAAAATGCCATTATTTTTTCCGCATTTTAAATCACTTGTGTGAAAAATGAGTTTTTTATTCCGTTCTTAAAAAAAATAAAATATGCGTGTTTTGTTAAGACTAATCTCGTAGAAAAATTAAGAATAAAAAGTTTTAAGGAGAATCTTTTATTTACAACTTCAACTCAAATTTTGCTACTTTATAAAACATATCAAGTTACATATATTGTTAAACTCTTAGATCTCCAAAACATATTCCAACGAGGTTATGAACTTTGTAAGTAATGTTTTTAATTAAAATATCAGTTATACGCTGTCTAAATCATCCTTTCAAGTGCTACAATTTGGTATATACATTCTCGATCGATAAAGTGGGTTTGCAGAAAATCAGAGATCTAATCGAAGAAGTCAACTTTTACTTGACACTTCGTTAGTGCGAAAGACAGTATATGTCTAAAATGATGAGACATGAACAATACGAGTAATTAAGTCATAGATTATCAACCTTGATGACTTCAATAGCCATGTGCAAAACTGTGTATTAAAAGAGTAGATTTAAGACTTCAATCGCACTTCCTATATATTGTTCGTTTTATAGTAGTGCATCATCCACTACTTCTTCTACATTATTATCTAATTTTTTTCTTCTGTGACACAATTCTCAACATGTTCAAACAGTTTATCTCAGCTCGTTTTCAGATAAGATTTCAAGAGACTGTTTGTCAGCATTTTAAGAAATACGTACAAGCTATTCAGCTGGTAATATGACGGAACAGTTCGTAGCAACATATTCAGCCGAAAAGAGCAAGTGTTTTCAAACATTATTTCTGAAGCAAAAATTAACAATTCATAATAAATTATGAATTCTTAGGATATGTAATTTAGCGTACTCTATTTAAATAAAAAATCTGATTTATTTTTTAATCTTAAAAAGTGAATAGTTAAAAAATTGCAGAATAATAGCTGAACTTGATTTGTTTACAACACTGGTAAAGTATGAATAAATTTTTGATAGAGGAGCGTCTTTCTAATACAAACCAAAATGATTTGCTGTTGTTGATCTATCCAGATGAAAACCACCTCTCACAACTAAACTATCGTGTGCTAATGTTAAATAAGGTTTTTCTTTCTGATGTATAGTAGATAGTTGATAACTCGTAGCTCCTAATCTATTCATACTTGACAAGGTTCGAATAGATTCTTTTTTAGAATCAACAACTCTGGTATGTGAATTCGATTGCATCTTATTTGCAGATTTTGTTTCATCGTTGCCATGTTCAACCATCCATTGCACAACCTGTTTTGGTAGTGATAAATTTTGTTGTCGTGATTGATGTTGATATTTTATTATTTCAGATGATTTATTCGTTGGAGATACAGTACGATGAGAAAATGGCTAAAATGTGCGAATCATGAAACAGACAATGAAGGGAAGTCAGTATTATACTTTATATTCTACTTCTGTAATAGCACTTTCTTTGTGTGTTATTTCTGTTTTAGTTTTGGAAAAATTTCTTATTTTTCTTTGATAAGCTTCACTAAATAAAATTTTTATACCAATTTGTTTATAACAGATATATAAGGCATAGTCAAAATTATGCTTTTACTTTAACTTTTTTGTTAATAATTGTTTAACACTTGGAATATGAAATATTTCATAATTTGTCATTAGACTTTCTTTCATTTCTAGATAAGATAAATTATCCCAACGAATTTTTTGTAATAATTTAGAAATAATATCAACATTTCGAATATGATTACATGATAACCATTGCATTGTTCGATCTAAAATTTTAGCCTCTTGACAATGTTCAATTGTAGAATCTGATAATATCTGATTTAACATCCAATATGGAACATCAATAAATTCTTTTGTTTGAATACAATCATTCATTTTACATGCTATATAGAAGATAAATTTGTACTACATTTAGAATGAATGAATTTAACATACTTAAATAATCATGTGCAAGATGATAAACGCTTGGTAAATTATGTTTACATGCTACTTCTAATATTCGAAAAACGGTATGTTTATCAACATTAGACAAATAGTTTATGGATAAATCTAAAATATTTTTGATTCCCAATTCTTTTGCACATGCTAGAATATCATCGATATTTCGTATAGTTAACATAATATTTCCCGAATATAAGAAACCTAAGACTAATTGCAATGCTTTATGTGTACTATGACGTAAATGTACTCGTGTAACAAAATCACTTTTACGTTTATTAAATATTTGTCTAAAACAGGAGAATAAACTATTTGTTATTCTCCTATATGGATATTATTGTTTTAATCAATTCTGTTAATGAATTTTACATACTTGAATTTATTTGAATAAGCGGCTAATAGTAGTCTATGAGCTAAATATTCACTTCCTTGTACAATTAATAGAAGATCACAAAATTGTGATGCTCGCCACATTTGTTGCAATACTTCTTTAGCCTTTGTTTCTTCATTAGCTGTGAGAAATTTTTTTATTAGTCCTTTCTCATATAGATGATAACCGGTGATAGTTTTAATTTTAGAAGATAAAATATTATTGCCACAAATTTCATTCAAACGACTATAGGCTTGAGCAATATTTGTGTCATATTGTTGTTGTTGAGATGATGTCGAATAGAGATAGTCCGATCTTAAATTGAGAACGGATGAGGAAATACGAAATGGTTTCACTAAAATATATGGTGGAGCGACAAGACCAACATTGGATGTAGCTAGTGGTGATTTATTGAGATTTAAATTTATGCTACTGTTATTGTTATTACCATTTAGAAATGACATATTTCATTTCTGTTTAATTGATCAACGAACTGACAAGAAATGAGAGAGAATGGTTCAAACCAATATTTTTCAAATTTGTTTCTTCATTTAAAATGTTGTTATAGTAATTTGAAAAACGGATATATTCTATCTAAACATAGGTTTTTTTTGGTTTCGTTTTCGTACAAGACGCGAAAGCAATTGGAATTAGCAAAGTAAAACATGAAGTCAGTTCAAAATCAAAGATGTAGTCAGTGAAGAGCCAACAGGCTCGCGTTCCATTCAGATGGAAGTTCTCACGGGCGAAAACCAAAAAAGTCTCTTTTAGCTGATGAGTTCTTCCAAGAAGAATTTCTGACTGCGTCCCTCCAAGATACCGAATCGGGTCAAACTTATTTGACCCGAACCCGATCCGAATTTTTTTTTTCTTAACTGGAATGAACCTCCGAAAAAAAATTTCGTGACAAAAAAAGAGATGTAACTTTAGATTTTTCGCAGAAAAACGCTTGAAAAATCGAAATTTTTTTCCAGTGGTCTTAACGGGATTCGAAATATTTTTTTATCTGATCCGAGTCCGATGCGACCCGTTTCGGTCTCTCAGGAGGAACTCCCTCCTGCTCATAACAGCAATTTGAAGCGATCTAAATACATCATTTCTTAACCGTCTTAAAATATACCTTTTGATATTTCCAGATATAACGGCTTTTTGCCAGAATAGTTACCCCCCAGAATAGTGGAATCCGCGCTTCATTTCGTGCAGCGACTCCATAGTAATTTTGTCACGATCTTGTCGCGAAATAATCCATTTGAATCGCGATCGCTATCGCTGATATATATCCGAATATGCGGATGCACATATTCGTAAATTTATCATCGTAAAAAATATTTCAAAAAACTTTGAACTTGATAAAAACTATGTTTTTGAAAAAGTTATTGAATCTTTTTGTTTTGCTTGTCCAAGAAAACAAACAACTGCCTAATACTCTCCTGTTTTTCTCCTGATTTTTTAGAAAAAAGCTCCTGATCAACTCCTGATTTTTTACGAAAAATTCCTGATTTCGAAAAACTGGATTTGGGTACCCTGCTTACCACACTTTTATAAGATTTTTCTTCAAACGAAGAAACATATAAACGCATATAAATGGCGTTTTATCTGAATCGCGAACATGACGCGATTTGTTTTAAATCGCGACCGCGACATAATCTGAACGCGGCGTGCGAGCATTTTCGCTTCGCGACCACCAATTTTTCGCAGAACGCGCAAACTTCGCGCCCGCGGCACGGTCGAGACCGGAATAAAGCGCGAATGTAACTAGGGTACATGTGTTACTTCTGATTATTCTTTAGTGTTAAAAAAAGACCAGAGAACAGTATAGTTCAAAAAGAGCCTAGTTTTATTAGTTCAACTATGGTAATCAGAAACATCTTCCAATAAAATCATTCATACCATAATTGTGCAACATTATTTTTGAATATACATCCTATAGCGTCAAAATCGACATGAAACTTTCGATTAAACGCCATTCCTATCCTGAGTGATAAGAAAATTACTGATTCAATAGTTCCTATTATCGGCGTTTTTTTCTGAAATCCGGATTAATCGGCGATTTGTTGCCGATATTGTTGTTCGCATTGTTGAACATACTGCGGCGCACGTTTGCAATTCATCTGCAGTGTATATATGTATCTTCACACGTGACTTTCTCACGTGTAATTTGAGGCAAAATAGAAAATTCGTAAATATCGCACTATCTCGAAATGTTACGGCAAATATGTAACAATGTCAAAGTTAAAAGTGTTTAGCTTGACATTGTTACATTTACCGTAACATTTCGGAATAGTGCGATATTTACGAATTTTCTATTTTGTCTCAAATTACACGTGAGAAAGTCACGTATGAAGATACATATATACATTGCAGATGAATTGCACCAAAGATAAAGCAAGAATAAAGAGATAGTGGTTCTACATTGTAGATATTGCTTCGATCATAGTTTCTCTTCCTTATTCTTCCTATGTCCTACATATGCCGCCGGACGAAGCGGTGGTTTAATCTTTTTAGTATACTCCTTTGTCTTCTGACACTCACCTTTCGTAAATGAAGATCCTGACGAACAGTCTTTCTTCTCAGTGATAAAACTTAAAGTCAACTTTTACTTAAGTCCGTAACGTTTTGTGAAAGTCATAACTCTTCAGCCAAGAAACGTACAGAGTTGGGGAACGTCTCATTTTATAGCTTAAAGAAATAGTAATTAAGCAAAGCCTAGCTCAACCCTAAACACATGCCTATAATTCGTGCCAATAAGACCCTTTTATACGAAAGTCGCGTATACCGAAAACATTATGTCACTTAAACTAGTCAGCTGTTAAACTTTACTTGGTTACTATTTAAAAGAATTACCAGGCTGCAAAATGAAACGTTCCCCAACTGTGTATGTTTCTCGGCTGAAGAGCTATGACTTTCACAAAACGTTACGGACTTACGTTTTTTGGCTGGTACACCTGGACAGGCCATGTATAGTATAATTTATTCTTTTTGTCTTTTAAAGAGAAACGCGATGATCATACATGTGGTGGACGCAGGAAATCTGAGGAGGCAGGTGTGTTTTTTAAATATTTCTGATGTGATATGCAACAAATTTTAAATATTAAGTTGATTTCATATTGAATTATTGGACAACATTTTTTTGCATCTTTAAATGAGCGGATTTTGACGTCACTGCTGATCCGTCTCTTCTCTCTAAATCTGTATGATCATCGTATGATCATAGTTAAATGTGGTTATAATACGATGATCCTAAAGTACAAGAACTGCACGCGAAAACTGGTGTACTAGTTCTAGAGTTATTCGATGACTTTTATTAATGAGACTGCTAAGAATCACTTCCATATGTAATTCTTTTCAATTTACTCTTTTCATCACCGCAGCATTCTTCTTCATAACATGTATAATTATTATTTAGAATCAGTTTGAGCCGTATTTAGTCTAGATCATATTTAGTTTAATACCATACGATGGCAGATTTAGAGAGAAGAGGAGACAGTCAGTTAGCACGAATTCTCAAACGGTAGAAGTGCCTTTTACCACCTATGAGACAGTGCAGTCCTCTTTTTTCTGGAGAACTCCTAAGGACTGGAATCCTCTATCAATGGAGCATATAGTCTCAAAACCGTCTCTCTCTGCTTTTAAAGATGCTCTCAAACTCTTTCGTCAAATGTGAGACTAATGATGTTTTTTGTTTATCAATATTTGTACTGATTTTCTTGTCTTGCTCTTTTGTTCTTCTCTTTACCATTTTGCTTGCATCTTCTCTCCTTCCTCTATGGGCATGTTGACAAAGTTATCTGCCTAGATTCTTAATCAAAAGCAATTTTTATTTTGTTATAAACTTTTGCACTAGCAATGTTTTTTCTTTCATGTATCCATGGCTATGCCAGAATGCCAGAATAAACTGAACATCATAGCTCAAACATTTATTGACATTAATAAATGTTTTATCACTCTGAGTAATGTTTAATAACCGATTTATGAAGTTTTTCGCTCATATCAGTAAGAAGCTGAAAAGTACTGATGCATACCTAATTAACTTGTAGAATATCAATTCAATTCTTCAAGAATTGAATTAGCACAATACCGATGCACAAATCGATTAAGGGGATCCTCCCTTTTTTGACAAAATTTTTTATTTTGAGTTGAATGTCGCCTGATGTAGAGAAAAGTTTTTGACTACAAAATAAGATCACTCCCAGCGTTCCATGAAAGATTGAAAAAAGACAATTTTTGTAGTTTTATTAATTTATTTTTGTTTCTAGTACTTCACAATTTTTTCTAATAGTTGGTCTGATAGAGCAGAGTGTTCTCTACAGACCAGGACCGCTTTCGAAATTTCCCAATTGTGTTTTGCACAGATATGAACATCACCGCAAATGTCCTGCAAAAAGTGATCGGTTTAATGTCACCTATAATGCGAAAAACACTGGTGATTCTAATTCAGTTATATTACGATCCCTTGATGATTCGATCGATCTCAAATTTTTGTGACACTTACTTCAGACTCTATCTCAGATTTTATATTTTTTTAAACCATTTTCAACTTCAACTTCCTTTCTAGATGTCTTGGATAAATATATTAAAAAAATATGGTATTCAAATTGAACATGAATTATGTCAGTCCCATAGTAATTCGAATGTAATGATATTCAAAGGACAACGTATACGCACCTCACAATCAGTCGTCATCAAACGTTATTTAAACAAATCTTCTAATAGTGGTCTTACTTCACATGGTCTAAACGAAATATTATTCATGTCATATTTTCCAGAAAATGATCATTTACTAACTTTAAGTAATATTATAAGTATTGATTAAAATTTTTAAGTATTATATTTCGTTGATTTTTTGCAAAAATATTGAGTTTTCATAATAAAATATGTTTTTATTTTATTATTTTTTTTTTTGTTTCTTACATATTTTTAGTCGATCAAATTTGTACGAGAGAATCGTTATATTTAGTCTACGAATATTGTGATAAACGTGATATTGAACGTTTTATGGTTTTAAATGAATTATTACCAGCTATCGTTATTCAATCATTTATGTTTCAATTATTGACAGGTTTAAATTATTTACATCAACGATTATTATTGCACGGTGATTTACAATTAAAACATTTATTAATAAAATCAAATGGAAAATTAAAAATAGCCGATTTTAGTCAGACAAGACATTTATATTGGCCACAATCAATTCAAACACGAAATGTAAGATATAGATGCCATTTTTGGTAAGAAAAAGTTGTAGAAAATAGAAGAAATTAGAAATATATTATCATTTACATGAAATTGATGAATGTCTTTTTTTTTTGTTACTGTCTATCGATTCTTGTCTCATTCATAGATTGGTTGTTTACAAAATCGTTGTCCTGAATTAATTCTTGGTCAATTAACAAATTCGACATCAATTGATATTTGGAGTGTTGCATGTCTTCTAGCTCAATTGTGTCAAAATTCAAAATTATTTAAAGCTGAAACAGAAATTGAACTATTATTTCAAATATTTTCTATATTAGGTTCGTTTTTCTCTTATTATTTTTAATTTAAATATTTACTTTTTTCTTATCTTTTTTTTCAAATCAATTTTAGGTACACCAACAGATAAACAATGGCCTAATTTTAAACATATGCCTTACTATTCACAACAATTTCCTCAATGGATACGTCGTGATGATCTATTATGTGATTTAACTAAAATAATTGGTTCACAAGGATGTGATTTATTATTAAAATTATTTATTTATGATCCAAAATATCGTTTAACAACAAATCAAGCATTAAAACATCCCTATTTTCAAAATATGGATTCTATTCAAGCATCAAATATATTCAAAACATTAAATCAAACTAGTCAGATTTGAATATATAATATTCTTGTATTAAAAGAGTAATTTATTTATTATTTATTCTAATAAAATAAATATATATTATCCTAAGATTATAGAATAACAAAATTTGCATATTTTCTTCTCTCTTTTTTGTTTTTCTCAATGATAAATATTATTTTCTTCAGAAGAATAGATTGTTTAGTCTAAACAATAAAAATTATATATCATATATGAGTTGTCAAAGAGAATAAAAACTTTTCACAGTTTTTAAGTTCATATATCAATGAATTAAAAACAACATTTTGATGAATTTATATTCGATTCATTAAAATCCAAAGGTTGTGTATTATTTTGTTTTAATTGATTTAAAAGTATTGAATTATCGAGTATCGATAATATTAATTGATTAAACATGGCTTTAATATTTTTTTCTGTTAATGCTGATGTATAAAATAATGATAAATGATTATCAGATGCTAATTGTTCAGCTTGTTCAAAAAACATTTCATTGTTTTTATGTTGAAATAAATCAATTTTATTACAAACCAGAACACATTCAACTTCATTCATAGCTTTTTGATTAAGTGCTTTATACCAATATGTTTTTAATCGTTTTAAACTAGTTATATTTGTTATATCACTCACTAAAATGGCACCATGACATGTACGAAAATGAGAATCATATACACAACCATAACGTTCCATACCCGGTATATCTTGCAATTGAATAATAATTGTATATTGATTTTCATATAAATGATCAACATAAAAAATTGTAAAATCTGGACCAAGAGTCGGTACAGTTTGTATTCGATCATCAAATTGTAATTTTTTTGCTATAGTCGTTTTTCCCACTGATGAATCACCAAGTAAACATATTTTAATTTTTAATTTTGGATGATCTTGATAAAATTTTGGTATTCGACAAGATTTAATAGTAAATAGTGATGATAATTCTTGAAAATAATTAACTTTTAAACGTTTTGCTTTAAAATCTTCAATAGCATTTTTTAAATTATAATTGATAATAAATTTTCGATTTTTTAATACATTATTAGTCATTGGTGATGTATTATGATGATCTAACCATGATTGTAATGCATATTTTTCATAACTTCGACCATCTTCAATAAGAATAACTGGAATAGTCATTAAATCTTGGGTAATTGGACAGTAAAAATCCTTTGGCATATCGACCATGTTGTTAGAATAAAACAATGATAAAAATACAATAAAAAAGTTAGTTATGAATATTAAATAGTAAAGAAATTTGACAAAAATAATCAAAAATTTGATGTATGTACACGTTCTAATAAAGAAAGATATTTCATCATTGGAATTTACTTTTTCTTCTATTGTCTGGGTATATTATATATGTTTGATGATACATGTGTTTTTGTTTTGTTTTTAGGTTTTTTGTACTTCCTTGCTTACTATTGTAAAAATAGATAACATCATTTACGAGTCAGAATTTTGAAAAAAGATTTATTGCATTCTTGACAGGCAATCATAATTAATTTTTTTTGTTTTTTTTTATTATTAAAATAAAATATTTTTTTTCTTATGAAATAATTCGTTGATATATTCATTCACTTACTACAAACAAAATGTCAATTTTTGATGATGATATTTCTTAATATCAAATCTTAATATCGAATAATAGAAATATTTTGATAGAGAGTAGTATGACTATACCATTTTTAGGATTTATATACTTAAAAATATATCAGAAATAGATTTCCATTTTTCTATTTAAAGAAAAATATTTTAGAAGTGCAATGGAACAAAAAAAATGGGACGATTATGTTTTTATACAAAATAAAATAACATTTAAAAGAAAGAGAATAGAAGAAGAGAAGAAAAAAAAAAAAAGAAGTAATTAGTTTATGCTGTAACTTGTCCAGTTTTAACCGATGGTTTCAAATTAAATCCTCCACCCGTAAATCTTTGTGCATTTTCAGATCGATTTGGTTGAATAAGATCAATTGGTTGTTGAATTGGAATTCCACTAGCTGTTTGAATTTGTTGTGTCATTTGTAATTGTTGAATTCGTTCTTTTTCTTTTGTCATATTCTCTTTTTTCTTTTGAATAAAATATTTTTGTCTTACTTCAATTAATTGACGATTTAATTTATCAATTTCATATTTATATTCATCAATTTGACTTTCATACATATTTACTTCAGAGGCAAGTGCTTTTAATTGTTTTGTTTTAGCTTTTAATGTTTCTTGATAAATGGATAATTGTTCAGCAACTTCTGGACCTGGTTGACGAGCTAAAAGAAAAAAATAATTTCTTTCTTCAAATCAATATAAAATATTCATTTTTTCAATTTATTTACCTAAAATACGTTTTAATTCTGCATATAATTTTTCTTTTTCTTGTATAAGTAATTCTTTTTGTACAACTTCTTCTGTTTTAGTTATTAAACGTTTTTGTAATAATTGTATTTTTTGTATTAATTCAAATGTTGATGGATCAGAACCTTCTAATTTTCTCCAACGATGAACATTCATTGGATTTTCTAATTCTTCTTCAAGTGCTCGACATCTTGTTCTTTCACGTAATAATTCACGTTGTACATGAAATACTTCACGTTTTAAATCATCCGTATTTGATACTTTATCTTGTAATGTACCTTTTTCATGTCGTAATTTTTTTAATTCTAATTTTAATATTCTTAAATCTTCTAAACGTGATTTATATTGTAATTCACCTTTATTTAATGTTGATTGTTGAATTTTTAATTTTTCATATAATAATGCTAATTCATCATTTCGACGAACTAATTGAGTACCTAATACATCACGTTCAGCTATTACCTAAAAATAATGAATTAAAAAAAAAATATATATATAATAAATAAGAATAAATGTATTCTAAATATTTGTTTTTTTTTACTTGTTGTAATTGTTTCATTTGTTTTTTTCGTTCATCATTTGCTTCTGTTAATTGTTTATTTAATCGTTCAAATTCAGATTGTTGATTAGCATACGCTTCTTCCTTCTTTTTTGCTTCATTTTTCAATTGATCAACATTTAATGTCAATTGTTCTTTTTCTTTTTTAACTTTTTCATGTTCACTTTGTGCTCGAACTAATTCTTGTTCTTTACCTTGAATTTCTTCTTTTAATTGATCAATTTGATGATTCATTATTTTTAATTTACGTTTCATTTCGGCTATTTCATCTTGTGATTCAATCAAATTTTTACCTAAATAAAAAAATAAAAAATAAAATAGTGATGGAATTAATTCATCATTTAATGAAAACTTACTGTATAGATTTCGATCACTTCGAACTGCTTCATACAAGTTTTGTTGTTGTTTCAAACGTGTTTCTAATTCGGCTATTTTCTTTTTTTGATCAAATAATTCCAATTCTTTCTTTTTGACTTCTTCCATTAGTGCCAATACTTGATTGGTTAATTGACCAGCTTCAGTAATATACCTAAAAAGAAATATTTAATAAAATTTATTGAAAATTCCAAAAAAAAACATAATTGAACAAAAATCACTCGTCAATTTTCTTCTTACCTATCTCGTTCTTTTTCCATTTTTAATATAATTTTTCGTTGTTTACTTGCTTCTTCTTTATAATTAGTAATATCTTGTTCTAATGTCTTTTTACTTTGATCAAATGATTTAACTTGATCAGTTTGTTTTTGATTATCAGCAACTAATTTTTGGCATGTTTTATTTAATTGTTCTCGTTCACGTGTTAACGTATCAATTTGTCGTCGTGATTCTTCTTGTGCTTTACGATGACGTTCAATATCTTGTTCTAAACTCGATATTGTTCCACGTAAACGTTCTCGTTGTTGTTCAATATCGGCTGCTTGTTCTTCAACGGTACGTAAACGTTTTTCAACATGATCCTTCTTCTTTTGTTCATTATCACGTTCTTTTTTCAACTGATTTACTTCGTCTTCTTTTTCTTTGAGTTCAACAACTCGTCGTGCACAATCGTTGGCTAACTTTTCATTTGAAGTCACCAATTCGGTAAATTGACCGCGAGTTGTATCAAGACGCACCTAAACCATATCAATTTGTCTTATGAAAATCTTTTCTTAAAAATTATATTCTAAATTTTGAAACATACTTGCAATATTTGATTCTCTTTTGAAAGTCTGATATTATCTTCTTTTAACTGTTTCAGATGTTGTTGTGACTTTTTCAATTCTTGAGATTGTATATCAAATTGTTGTGTTTGAGCTTTATATTCGGCATTTTTCATTTCTAAACCTTGTTTCGATTGTTTCAATTCAGTTTCAATTTGCTCCTAGAAGTGTAAACATATAGTAACTATTAAACAGAACACTTTCTAAATCAATCGCTACACACTCGTCTCTTGGCTTCTTTCATGTTTTCAGTTTTAGCTGCCGTTATTTTTTCTTGTAAGGTATTTATTTGTGAATTAGCATCTTGAATTTGTTTTTCTAAATCACTTTGTTTATAAGAATTGTCATCTAAATCTCGACGTAGTTGAGTAATATCATTCAGTAACTTATCACGTTCCTGAGTTAATTCATCACGCATTTTTAGTAAATCATTCACGTCTTGTTCTTGACCTTGGCTAATACCTAAAACAAAGATCCGAATATTGTTATAGCATTTTATCTATGTATGCCAGAAAGCACCTCTATCCATAACCTACCTGCTCCTTGTTCTACTAATTTGCTTAAATTATTAATTTCTATTCTTAAACTTTGTATGGTTTCTTTTGCTCGTTGTTCTTTTTCATGTGCTGCATCAACCATTTTCCAAGCTTTTTCAATTTCTTTTCTTAATGATGCTATTGCACCCTTATCTTCTTCGGATAATTTTACGGCTGCTTGAACTTTAGCTGAATTTGTAACTAATTCTGAATTTAATTCTCGACATTTTTGCATTAGACGTTTTTCACTATCATGTGATTTTAACAGCGCTTTGTGTAACTTTTCGTATTCAATACGAAATTTTTCTAATGAACGATCTCCACCAATTAGTTCATTTAAAACTTGTTGAAATTCATCTTCCATCACTTTTAAGGCACCATCATCAAACGCGGTTTTCATTTGTGCTGTACCAACGCTACTTTTCGCTTTATCAGTGTCTGCAGTTCCAGGCACGGCTGATAGAGCAGTACCATGTTGATCTGGCGGACCGGCCGGATCGGGGGTCTGACGACCTTCAGACATTCTCACTGTTTTCCGCTTAGGAGTACAAAATTAAAAAGAGTTTTCTTTGAATTACTTACAACTGAAAAAAAAACAGAAAAAGAGAACTTTATTTAAGCAATAACATAAACTATGTGGAACGTTTCGCTGTCAAGTGTTTTCTAGAGAGTTAAAATAACTGAATTCTTAGACTTCTTCTACAGACATGTAAAAATAAAGAGCGCATTACTCTAGCATCGGTGATATTTTCAAGAGGGCTTAGTCGATAAATTAATATATTTCACCATCAATTGTATTCATATAATACAAGAAATTAGCTTCTCTATGTGTAACACTACAGCAAACACGATGCTTGAGGAAGAAATTTTGTCTTTCTTTCGTTTACAGACTGTCTTGAGCACAAACAATATTTTCTAGATTAATGACCCAATCTTTCCGAATGTGAAAATACACTTTGTAAAATTTTATGAGATACGGTGTGAAAATGTGTGGCAAAGTCTTCAAAGTGGTAGATAACACGCCGATGTGACCATTTTTCTTACGAAAATAATGTAGTAAAAGGCCTAAAACTGATGTATTATTAGTATCACAGAAAGTTTTTACAATACAAGAAAGATGAGAGTTTAGTGCATATTCACTTGTTATTTTTCGATAATTGTTATCGCCATTACTTGGATACTGTCGTTTAGTAGTTGCTAGCAATAACCTCTATATTTTGTTTCAGAATCATCTATGATATATATAAAAATCCCCTTCCAGACCAAACACATTCTCTAAAAAGACAGAACCATGCTTACTCCTTTGATTATTACATGTTTGTGTGCTAACGTTCTCTATAGATGTCATTGTCTACTTACCGTAGAACGGAGCATTCATAGAGTTGTATAGTGTAAATTACTTTGTTCAAACACCATTCAGAAGCATCTGTGGCTTAGTTAGAGAAGCTTCTAAAATATAGCCAAGTCAGCTATTTCTTTTGTCGCTAGAAAGCAATGATTTAAACGTGCAGTTATCAGAAATTTTATATAGTATGTTCTTCCGAATAGTGTAGTTTTTATTTTTAAATACGATATGATATGATATGATATGATCTCCCCTTCATGGGATATATGTAGTGTTTTCAATCAGTTGTATATAACTTATTGTCATTCCAGTTCGGTTAGATACTCTAAAAGATTTGTGTAACAGTCATGCAACTACGAAATCGTCAGTATAGTAGTCGATCCGAGACCATCGCAAGGCAACAGGGCAGCTGACCTGTCCTGCCGCTCTGCCCTGTCAGAAAATTACTCACAAAATTTCTTTGGCCCTCCCCTGCCCTGTCTGGTTGGGCAGGACGTCTTGCAGTGCAGAAGGAAGTTTTTCTCCTTAACCTAGAAGACTTTATCTTCAACAAACTCATTACAAATACTGGATGTTTTTGTCGTGCTTAACAGAATCAGTTTTTGGATTAATTATCAATTTTAGAAAAGTTGTGTGTCATTTTTATTTTCACATATACGAGAGATCTCAAAATTTTACTTAGAAAAAAGCTTGAAAATCTCATAAATCATCTCTCGTAGGGCAAATCAAGAGATTTTTTGTTGCCCTGCCCTGCAACAGGGCAGACAAAAAAATATATCCCCTTACCTGGCAGGGTCGGAGGACAGCAGAGCAGCCCTGTTCTGGGATGGTCTCTGTAGTCGATACACATAATATCAGCTGATTTACATATACTGCCACCATAGACATTACTGATGTCACATTAGTAATTACAATTTAGAAGCTTCATAATGTAATTTATATATAAAGAAAAGAATCGTATTATTTACTCTTTTATTTGATTTATAGCAAAACAGAACTTGTTGTTTCTGTTCAGAACAATTTACTCTTTGACTCCTCCTAGTAAGTCATGTAAAGCGTAATTCTCAAACATAATATTATATTGTAGTTCAGAGAACTCATCAGAGTAGAGTATATGGTCATATTACTGCGAACGTGATGTGTGTGTACTCAGTCTTCACGAGAAAAATGTGTGCAGTTGGGTGTTTTCACACAGGTCCCCCTACTTTTTACATGACTTCAAGCCGGCAAAATTCCACTGTGCTTAGATTGTAGTTCGTGTTGAGTTAGATAGGCCTACATCTCGAATTTTTAAAAAAGTTGTGCCGAAAGTGGATGGGACAGGCTCACAAAAGTCATTTTTGTGAGAACTCCAACTTTTCGAAACTCTTTTTCAACACTTTTATAAAATAGCGCAGCCAATTATCTTTTGAATGAAACATCTTCGAGCTTTTCACCACCTATGGTTGTCGCAAAATTGCAATTTTATTAATGTAGGACGATTTAGAAGCACCTTGCAACATTCCGGTCCTGTAATGTCAATTACTTTGCCAGAAATCTCCCAATTAAGCTCAAAGACGTCGCATTCGAAAGATAATTGGCTGCGCTATTTTATAAAGCTGTTGAAAAAGAGTTTCAAAAAGTTGGGTTCCTGCAGACCTCCTAGAAAGCTGGTTTTTGAGATATCAAGATGTTCCCAAAGATGCTATTTGAAATTTTTATCATAAGTAGTACTAAATGTATTGTCTTCACGGAGAAAATTTCACGAAGATCCGACATGTAGTTTTCGAGAAAATCGAGCTCAAAGTCGGGAACTTTGGTAGGGGTCCACATCTTGAGAACCATATAACTCAAATTCAAAGAGAGCTGCAGAGTTTGTCTTTCCTCCGTTAGATCGAACTCGCACTGGGTCACAAGTTGGTTATAGACAAGTAGATATTTCTGTACTTTTTGACCGTTCTACAGCAATTATGAAATCCCAGCAAAAGTCCTGTTTTGGCATATTTTACAACGTTTGCGACCGAGCCAGCTTGCCAGTTGTAACCCTTGAAAATTAGTTCTTATAGACAACTTTCTGAGCTCTGTCGAATGGTCGTCTCAGGTTTTTTAAGAAAAGCTTTCTTTAGGTCATTAGTGAGCGATCCCTAGTGGGGATTTTTGGTAAAACTGACTTTTATGAGCGTGCCCCGGTTACTTTCGGCACAACTCTTTTAAAAACTCAAGATGTAGACCTATCTAACTCAACACGGACTACAATCTAAGCACAGTGGAATTTTGCCGACTTGAAGTCGTGTAAAAAAGTGGGTGGAGCTGTGTGGACACACCCAGTTTTAAATCTAGATAACTAATAGCTTAACATTTTCTTTTGTTTTGAAAAGAGAATAACAGCAAAACGGTGTGTTTAATCGTCCATTCACATAAAAGAGAGAAAGAAAAAGAAAAATTAATGTTTTATTTTTCATGTCACTCGTTTTTCAAGAATAATCAATACAACAGCATTCTTTTACACAAACTGATCATATTGTTCATAGAATATTCAACTACATTCAAAAGACTTCCATTTTTCTTGTTCACACTTCAAATAGAAATTCCAGTTAATATTTCTGTTTGCAGTTATAGAACTGTGACAGATTTTTAGTGTGAAGAGTGGTATGTACTAATTCACTATTGTTTCTAAACAATAAGTGATACAATTAGTCGCTTGATTTATAGAAGTTTTAACACGTTTACTGTTTATGTATCATATATGATCCATTCAATTTTTGACCACTGTCATGTATCATATCTGGTACATTTGCAAGATTAGACTAAATGTGATTTTTTGTTGTGAACGTGAAACGTATCTTGCAAATGTATCATATGTGATACATGAACTCTATAGTCAAAAATTAAATGAATCATATATAATACATGGACAGTGAACGTGTTAACAAACCGTATTTTTACCTATATATTCATGTATATTGCTACTTCACTGGAGTCTCAGAAGCAACGTCCAGTGGCTTGGAATGACCATGAGATCGCATGGAACATACGTAATCGACCACGATGAATTTCATGGCAATGTTTGTTTTTAGGAAAGAATCCAAAAATCTAGTGAAAATTCAGTTTTACAAAGCTGGGATTTCCAGTAGGGGTCTTAGAGTCATTTTAGAAAATAAATATGAATTCGACATTTATATTTAAATAATAAAGATAAATAAATGAAAAAAGTTTATTTTTATAAAATAAAGATAAGTGAGTCTTATCTGGAATAGAACAAATAGAACAAGCGCAGCGAGCTCCGAGAAAAAAACCATGGTCGCAGAAGGAGAATACCAACTATTTATTCCATCTTTATTTCTTTATTATTTGGAATTACGCCTATAGTTCAGTTGTTTTCAATCAGAAACATCTTCTAAATAAAGTACTTCGTCTGAATAACAACAAATTTTGTAGTCTTAGAACACTTAAAAAGATAATCCGACTTATTCTATCCGTCTTACTCCTGTATTGGTCTAACTGTTTTTGTTCCGTCTTATTATCAGTCTTATTTGTAAGATCGAAGAAGAAAGAGGTCTTATTTTTATCGTCTAAAGGATGAGAAATCAATCATTCGCTTCCTTTGTTTCGCATTCACTACTTGTATATAAAGGACAGAAAACTTAATGAAAACACACTAGGAATTTTTCCATTTTTCTCTTATAAAATAGTGACAATAGCTAGACCGAAAATACTGGTCCATTCTCATGAAATTAGATTAGATCATGCATGATCTAATTTTAAAATTCGAAATGTTATAGAAAATAGACAGATAAATTTGTCGGTCATAAAATAACACACTATAAGTCGGTTGACGATTAGTCGCATACATGGGTCTTAAAATAAGACGAATAGAAGCGTCTTAATTTAAGACCCATGTATGCGACTAATCGTCAACCGACTTATGGTGTCTTATTTTAAGACCCATTTTTTTTGGGAGTGAACACCACACCTATTGCGTATATTTCATATCTTTATTTCTTTATTTTATAAATATAAATCTTTTTTCATTTATTTATCTTTATTATTTAAATATAAATGTCGAATTTATATTTACCCATTATTATAAGTGAACAATAAAAGTCAAAAAGCAGCAAAACGAACTTAAAACTTCAGAATATAGAGCAATTTTATGTTATTCTATATCATACTTAAGAGAAACCTAGAACATTATTACGATTTAGAGCCAACAAGTGAATAAAAATAGATTTGTGTACAGCAGCAGTCATTTATTTAATTTAATAATTTAAATTTATCTTGACGTCTCGACTCTTCATAGAGTCATTCATAGAGTCATTTTCAAAAGTGAAATAAATGACCACTGCGGTACAAAAAAAGAAATCTAGAAAAACAAGTTTACAGCACTCAACGGTTTAATCAGAGGATTTCTGCAAAGCTTTTGAGCAAAAATATGGTTTTTGACTTTTTCGATGATATTATCACGTTTATCAAACAAATTTAGCCATATCCTGAAGTCTTGAGTTCGTTGTGGTGTTTTTTGAGTGAATTGTAAATTTTGTAATATTAGGTGAAAACAACCTGGAAACCCCAGAGCTGGAACCGGTTGAGAAAAGATAAACCGCTCCGGTCCGACTGGTAAACGGGCCGGTTGGAATTATAACTTAAATGGGCGAAAGTCGGTAAAATACCGGGGAAAATCTGGCGAGTTTTTTGAAAATCGATTTTCAGAAAGCCTTTGAAGTAGTTTGCGAGTACATGTGAGAGAACCTTCACACTAACGAGCCTATAATGTTTAACCTTAAAACAAGTGATGGATGAAAATAATATCTGTCTTGAGCATCGTCTTATTTATTCTGAGTAAAAAAGACGTGAAATTTTAGTTTTTTGGACGAAAAACAGGATAAAAAGAGCAGATGTTTCAAAACTTTCAACCGATGAAATACCGGTCTCTACCGGCCCGGTTGACTTTTTCAACGGGTCCCGTCCGGTTCCACCTCTGAGAAACCCCAGTTCTGTAAAAGTGATTTATCACTAGATTTTTTAAAAATAAACATTTGCCACGAGATTCAGCGTAGTCGATTACATATGTTCCATGATATCTCACGGTCATTTCAAGTCACTAAAGGCCAGTTCTGTGACACCAGTGAAGTCCGATACCATGACTCTCAATTTACAGAGGACACTTCAGACTACCTATCCATGAAAAAAAACATATATTTTTCTTATAAGCGTTTTAGTAATAACATGGTTTTCGAAGATCTTCTGGAAAAGCCACTTTGGAAGAAGATTTCCACAATAACGTTCATGATGAAAAGATGAGCTCAAGTCTTGGTTTTCAATTGACCAAGACTGTAAGTCTCTATCACTTTTCTGTCAGATGTTATTCAAGAAACATCTGAGTCCATTCTTTTTTTCCCAACAATAGAGATGATACTATAATAAAAGTTAGATAATTTCGTTAAGCACATAGATTAAAAATCCAGTTAATTTTGATAGAAAATATTTTCTATCAGAAAGTTCCATGTTTCAATATCGTTATGCTTGTATATTTATTTTAATAATTAATATTAAAAATGTATTTTCGACAACGTCATTCGAGATAAAACAACATGAGAATATTGATCCAAATGGTTATATTTTATTTTGTCTCTGTATGGGACGTTTTGGTAATCAAGCTGAACAGTTTCTTGGAGGATTAGCATTTGCCAAATTATTAAATCGGACATTAATTCTACCACCTTGGCGTACCTATAAAAATATTCCATTTACCGATTGGTTTGAAATAGAACCTATACGTGAATATCATCGTGTTATTGAAGCCTATGATTTCATGTCCAATTTAGCTCCTCGTGTTTGGCCAGATGATAAACGTATTGGATTTTGTTGGTTACCGTCAGATAAGAAAAAAACCGATTGTAATATGAAACAAGGAAATCCATTTGAAAACTTTTGGAATGAATTATATGTCGATTTTACTGATTATGCAATTTATCAATTGTCGTATGATGAACATAGTGTAGACGATTGGCACGAGCGTTTTCCACCAAAAGACTTTCCTGTGATATCTATGAAAGGTATGATACTTCTGAAACTAAAAATATCAATGTATGATGATACTGAAAAGTATAGTTCGTCAAATATTCTCAGTTTGTTTCGTTTTTTACGTGAACATATAACTTGAAGAATCATCGTGTAGATCTTACTTATAAGATCATAAGGTAAAAATGCGTGTACGCTCTTTTAGAGGCACCCGCTCAATTTCCCATGTTAAGCAATAATCGTAAATTACAAAAATATTTGAAATGGTCACAGAAAATTTTAGATGAAGTTTATCAACATCAACAGACACTATTTAACTCTTCCAAGTACATTGGTATTCATTTACGAAATGATATAGACTGGTTAAAAGCTTGCTCTGATATTGAAACATATCATACTCAATATTATATGGCATCACCACAATGTTTAGAAGAAACCGAATTTTATGCGACAAAAAAACTTTGTTATCCATCAGATGAAGAAATATTTAGATTATTAAAAAATATTGTTATACTTACACAAATTAAAAATATTTATGTGGCCACAGATAAACGTTCAATGGTGAAAGAAATAGGCCATGAATTATCAAAACAAAATGTGATTGTAAAACATTTAGATCCATGGTTACCTGTGATTGATATTGCAATGTTAGCACATAGTGACTATTTTATTGGAAATTGTGTTAGCTCATTTACATCGGCTGTAAAAAGAGAAAGAGATATAAAAAATTTACCGTCAGCCTTCTGGGGTTTTAGTAATTGAATAGACAGTTATTTTGATAAACATGCTTTACTTGACATACTGTAATCAGATAAAATAACGCAAAATAATTTATAGCAGGTATCGAAAGGAGAAATAAGGTCAATTGGTAATTCTTATCTATTGTCAAAATTTTGTCATTTTATTATGCTGACATATCTTTATATTTCGTTATATAAATTGGTATATATCTTTTTGTATTTTATGCAAATAAACATTCATTTATTCAACTAAAAATGTCGCTACAAGTTTCATCCGAAATTGGTCGTCTTAAACGTTTGATTATTCATAGTCCTGATAGTGGTCTGGGAAAAGTTGTACCATCTAAAGCACAAGATTGGCTATTCGAAGATATTGTTCATTTAGATACAATGAGACGACATGAATACGATTATTATGTTAAACTTCTGTTATATTTTCTTGATCCACAAAAAGTAAAAGGTCAGTTGGATAAACTTGATCAAAATGAAGCAAGAGGTTTTTTTAAACCGGATAGTGATGAATATTTTAGTTCTGATAATGTTATTGAATTTCAAAATTTGCTAGCACAAACATTGGAAAATGAAAGTATGCGAATAAAATTGGTCGCATCTATTTGTGCTATTGAACGTCAATTATATAGTACACAACAAAAGTTATTAGCATTGACACCAATTAAATTGGCAAATGTTTTAATATCAGGAAGTTATGGAGAAAATAATGAAATGTTATTTCCACCTGTACCGAATCTGTTATTTACGCGAGATTTGGGAATAATGATCAATGATCATTTGTTGTTGAATAAACCCGCGAAAACAGCACGAACAAGAGAAGCTCTACTTTACCAGTATATCGTTTTCAATCATAAATTATTCGCTGATATGCGAGAGAAAATAATCGAATTACCAGAGAATGAATTGTATTTTCTATTGCCTGAAAATGAAAAATCTTACAATCGAACAACATTGGAAGGTGGCGATGTGATGATTGTTGCGCCAAATCATTTGCTCATCGGGATCAGTGAAAGAACAACAATTTATGCTGCTCAATTACTCATTCAAATATTATTCGATAAACAAATTGTGAATAAAATTACACTAATAAAAATTCCCGATAAACGTGATTGTATGCATATTGATACAGTATTCACACAGGTAAAACGAAATATCTGGGTTTTATATCATAAATTAGCTCGAAGAACGAATAAACAATCCCATGAACAGATTGAACCTTTTATGTCTAATCTTCTGCCAACATCTCTAACCAAAATGGGTAGCAATGAAGATGAAATGAAAATAATTCAGTTTCATCGAGGAAAACAAATAAAACCACGTGAAATCGAAAATCTTGAAGATCTGTTGATGGAAGTGAGCTGTGATGATCTAGGATGTACAAAAGAGTCGGTAAAATTTATTTATTCTGGTAATAATGAATTTCCCTATGGTGCACGAGAACAATGGACTGATTCGTGTAATCTTTTGGCACTGAAAGAAGGTGTTGTGATTGGATATGATCGAAATGATAAAACGATGGAGGCATTTAGACAAGCAGGATTTAAGGTAATCAGAGCTGCTGATCTTTTGAAACAATTTGAATCCAATGAACTTGAACCAGACACGTTAACCGATACATTAATTTTATTACCATCGGGTGAATTATCTCGAGCAAGAGGTGGTTCACATTGCATGAGTATGCCGCTACTACGAACAGATATTCACAGATAAAGAACGTTTATTCTGTTGTCTTTATCCTAGCACTTAATTGTCATCTTCGATTTTGCTAAATGAATGACGAATGGGCATGCAACATTCACTAAGTTTATTGCACTAGTATTTCTGTACATAATTTATTATTGCTTAATGCTCTTTATTATTGCTTGTGATGATGATTTATTTATCTATCTTAAATAATAATTCTAACGCTGTTCTCTCGCTCTCTCCTTTAATAAAATACTATGAAAAACAATATCCATTGACAATATAACGGTTAATCACAATGATAGTTGGACCAGGCGCATTTCTCTTGGCTATCTATAAGGGTTTAATCTTTGATTTACGCTTGATGATAGTTCTAATAGTGTCATCAAGATTATTATTACTACTAAAATGGTAATTTATATACTACAGCGATTTCAAAACGTCCGCACTAAAAAAACATTGAATATCTTTTTGCCATTCTTAACTAAACTTCAAGGTTGCTTTTTTTATTTAATAGATATTTAAGTTTTAAAACAAGTTTTTCAAGTTTTATTCGTTGTATTTAGAACTTTTTGTTAATACTTGTCTGAATTTATTATGGTAATATCCAGGTTTTTGGGAACTCTTTTTTTTAATAAATTATGTACTGCAAAGCTTGTTGAATGAAACATAAATAAGTTTTAATATTAAAATAAAGTAGGAATGGTTTCTCTTTTCACATAATTATTTGCTTTTGTTTAAAAATGATTGGATGGTGTGGATTTTTTCAGGCACGGTTGTTCCATACTAACATCTGGGAAAGTGTAAAAGAGTGATAGAAACTTTTTCAGATAAAAGTAACTAATAAAAGGAAAAACTACTAGCTGAATTTCATACGAAGAAGCCAGTCTTTCAAAGTGGAATAGTTTGAAGACCTGTAAAAAAAGTTGTATGAGGTTTATGAAGAAGTTGAAATTCACAGGTCATGTTAATACAGAGAAATTAACTTCTTTCGGCAAAACTTTAAATTGAACAAAACATTTTAATATATGAGACTGTAGAGCAATCCGAGTTCAATAAAATAAGGCGCAGTATGACTCTGGCAAAGATTCCATTCAATTACGACAAGCTCAACAGTCTTTATTGCCTATTATAAGTACGCACAGAGAAAACATGCGTTTCAAATTTTATTATTTTTCTGCATTGATCTTTTCTATACAAAAACTTCTGATCATATGAAATAAAACTTGGAATGTTCCTCTATTAAACAAAAAAACAACTTCGAAGTTTAGTTGAGAAATGACGAACATATTCAGCGTGCTTTTTGGTGCCAAATTTTTGAACATTCTGTATTTATTCTGACTTAGATGATTTCATAATTTTTAATAAAACAGCTGGGTAATGGAATGAATGGAGATGTACGTAGACTTCTAAATCAATACAAATTGTTAGACCAGAGTCGTAACGGGAAGCAGTTGTTGTTAACACTATTTTCCTGTTTTAAAAGTAACAATCACAAAGATTACATATCTTTGTGTCCTTGTCAGAACACGGGATCATCACAAACTTTTTGAATAGCTTTTGAACGAAGATGCGGTTTTCGGTATGCGAAATAGAAAACTTGGAGACATCTTTCCACAAGCAAAGCAATCTTAAAAATCCGTTTTTCAATGATCTTTTCTAGGGCTTTTTTTTGGGAATTAGATCATAATCAGAAAAGTTGGAATACATTGATTTTTTCCATGAGGAGATAGCTCATAGTATCCTCTTTAAAAAAAAATGATGATCTCGTGTCCTTTCTTCATTTTTTTCTTTAATTAGTGAGTCCGTAAAAGTTTGTACATATAAAGTCTTATTCGACTTACCGTAGAATTACTATAACTATAACTAAAGTATTAGTTCAAGGAAGTTTCAGATCTGGAAACTGGCTAAAGCTGGTTGAGGTTTACACCTTCTTGATAATGGGTGTGTCATTTTATTACTATTTTATGACCATATTTTTTCATATTATTATTCACCATCTAAGAATAGCAGCAGTTCACGGATAACATCGATGTAAAATTTCAAGAAAAGGATTTCAGCAGAACGGCACTTTTTTTTTTCCTTCATTCAGCAAGCAAGTAAGGGGGGGTGAGTGCTAGGATCCCACACTTCCTAATCCGGCGGTTATCCAGCGCTAGGACGGTTCGTATGTAATGGAGCTCTTACCAATCCTGTTCTAATAATTCGTTTTGTTTAGTCTCTTTATTTTATTCTTAAAAGGAAGATTTAGCTTTAGAAAAAAATCGATGTTTAAACAAGCATAAAAATGGCAAAAACTGATTTTCTGCAATCAAGTAGATCACCAATCAACTTGATTGCTTCCACAGCAACAGTTCGGTTTCAAGTTATTTTAATGTTGAAATAGGATATTAAAACTGTACTGGTGCTAGCTGAAATTGATAGATGACGTTTCTGGTATTCAATTATTTGAATAAGAGATTCATAATGATAGTGACTTTGGCTCCAAAAACATTTGTAACGGCATCGTGACCGTAGCGTTCAAACCAATCGGTGTAAGCAAATGAGAGATTTAAGGACAATGTGAAAAGACGAACTTTATATTTACATATTTTAATGACGCTCACTTAATCACTCTCACAAAGATTTGTGTTTCAAGTTTGACTATCACAATATGATTTCGTGATAACAGAAAAATTTTATTTTATAATTTTATAGTCTCTTACCCTGAAAGAATGTTTTCGCCAATGCAGTATTCTTCAAAAACAAGATATGGTTAATATTGTCCACTAAACGTGATTGTGTGATGAAAAAAACATGAAAAGGCATATTTTTTCCCAAAGATTCCAATTTCTCTTTTTATATTTATTTTTCTTATAAACAGAATATAAGATACCTTAAATACTGTGCATTTTGGGGTTTTCAACTGGATCTAAGCTTCCATTTTGAAGAGGACACTTTTGATTATTAAGTAGAAACTAATCTATCAATCGTGGAACTAACTTATGCATTTTAAAATACCGAAAGATTACTTTCGTTATGAAACTAAAGGTTCAAAAGAAGTCTTTATAGACTATTTTCAAAAGACGTAAAAATTGTAATTATATGATGTCTTTAGGTTATACTGCGACTATACCATTGATACATGACTGGTTGTTTCGATTGCAAAAATGTGAGGTTCAGAAAAATTTTGCCACGCAGATAGGTCACTAATTCCGATGTAAGATCCTAAAAAAATAATTTTCTATCGCGGTTTCAGATGTCAGTCTAAAAACTTTCAAGAGAGAAGAGAAGGATTTTTCTCAATGTTTTCATCCGTTTTTTTAATAAACGGTATTCATTCCCGTTTATTATTTTACTTTCTGACAGTTTTATCTGCTAATATGTCTCCGAATCATGCCTTATAGACACTATCCCACACTCCTGTCATGATAGAAACAGCATGAACACAATGTAAACAGCGAAAAAGACGTACGTGCATATATATATCATATGTTTTTTAGAAGCTACGCACATCCTAATTCAAGAATGAACCCCTTGCACAATTAATAAATCGCTTTCTCTCTTTCCTTGTTCTGCACTATCGATGTAAAACGTTATGTTGCACCGGAAAGAAGTAAACAAAAACTAACTTTGCATAAACAGAAATTATGTTAGACTCTGAGAGAACATTTCAATCCTTGATGTTATACGATGCTCCGATTATGCAAAAAGATATAGTTAAATACTTAGGTATGTTTTTTACGAGTAACATGTCATGGACATATCACATTGAGAAGGTGCATTCTAAGGCATCGTCTATTGTAGGATTAATGAAACTGCATAAGCATTTATTGACTAAAAATGCACTTGAAATTATTTTTAAATCTTGTGTACTATCAATTTTCAACTATGGTGCTGTCATTTACTCATTGACTACATCGAGTAATTTGAATAAACTGGAGAGTCTGCAGTATTATGTTGCTTTAGCCACCTTAGGAGCAATGAAGGGATCAGCGAAGGACAGATTATTTGATATTTTAGGTTGGATCACAATAAAAGATCATTTGAGAATACTTCTTTTGTTATTTTTTGCAAAAATAGTAAAAGGTTTTACTCCTCAATATCTTACTGTTCATTTGCAACGCCATCAGCCTCATGATACGTTTACGTAGTAATCAAAAATCTATAATCGATCCAGCAGATAGTACTGACGACGATTTTTTTACTGTAGTAACTAAAGAATGGAATAATCTGATACAGAAAGATCCAAAATTTTTAACAATGAAGATTTTAAAAATGCGCAATATATTAAAATCTGAGCTTTTAACATCCAAGTTATTTCCAAAGCGACTAAAATTTCCTGCTAGACGAGATGAAATCTTTTTTATGAGATTAAAGTCTGATTTTCCGCCTTTAAACTTTTATCTGCATAAACGGAAGTGTATGTAAATCGCCTAAATGTAAATGTGGGAATGGAAAGGAGGATGTTGAACATTACTTTCTGCAGTATCATCTCTATCACAATGAGAGACAAAATCTGAAACACGATCTACATTTTCTGACCACGATTACAGTTGACACATTATTGCTGAATGATCGTAATCTAGACGATGATTCACTTCCTATTGTTTTAAAAGTAGTTGTATTTTACGTTAAACAAACTAACAGATTTGATAATTAGCTAGTAGAACGTTAATAAGTTTTAATAAAATTTACATTAGCCCACGCCACGTCTCTCCGTCTAGTCTGTGTTATTTTCGCTTTTCTTGACGTTTTTAACTTTTTTTTATATATTATTTCACTGTTCATCCTCCATCTGTTACACTTTATCACTTAATGTAGCCTATATTATGCATGGCCTAAAATGGTTCGCCGCCGGTCTTATTATTGACACAATAAAGATATAAACCAACATTTCAATATGAGTTGTTAGAGAAAACAGAATCAAATAGATTTAAATGCAAATTATGGCCAAAATCTGAAGCATCAATCATAAGGTATATATCAAAAAGGGTATTCATAGAATTTCGCGCAGTCATCAACAGTCACAGATATCCTAAAAGTTTCAGAAACTTTTACCCAATATTCGGTTTTTATTGAGAAGAAATCTCCCTCCTACACTGATTGTCTATGGTCAAAATAAAAGATGTAAAAATCTCTTAACGTGGAAACAATTGATCAATTCGAACAAACTTCGATCAAAATGATTCATTCTTCTAAAAAATATCCCTTAAATCTTAAAGTATGAAAAATAGATATTGTTGCACAGTGGTACAAGCTAAACAATATTTTTTGTTATCATTTAACTATTTGTTCTGTTCAGCAATTTTTTCTAGCATTTTCTTTTTATGATCGATATTTTGATATATCAATCATGCATGAAAGAAATGCAATTTGATAATCCTTCAGCTTTAATAGAATAAAAAGTATAGCATTTCTACAATAGAGTATTGAATGATTTTCTCTAATTCAACATAATAACGGATGTTCTATCTTTTATTTGTTTTACCTAAACATTTGAACTTTTTTTTGTCTTTTACATGACAAAGTAAAACAAAAACAAGTGTAAGAAAACGGTTTGAAAAAAGAAAACAAAAACACTTTTCTTCTTTTATTTCTATCGTAATTTAACTCGTTTTTGTTGTGGTTTTGATTGTTGTTGTTGTTGTTGACGATGTAGACACTTTTCCTGCCGTTTTAACTGCAGTGGCTGTTGTTTCTTTTGTGGGATCACGTTTTGTTACCGTTGCAAAACTACGTTTCTTCTTTGAATCGGTCTACAATAAATAAATCAAGGAATGAAAGATCAATGGCAAGTTTTATTTAAATAAATGTAGCATGAAAGTAAATAAAAAGATCGAAATGGGACTCTTAAAAAAATACATCTCATTAACTAACGGATACATTTTTCTTTTTTAACCATAATTCTGTTTATTAAGAAAAGTTATAATAAATTTGACTAACGAACATAGACCAAGGTCTATGGAGCAGAGTCAACTAAACAGTCTAACGAAGAACTAAGACAAATAACATTTTTCTTTTATACAAACATAGTTCACGAAAATAATAATTGAAGCAGTTTGATATTTTTACAGTAAAAACTAATTTCAAATCTTAGTAACATAGCAATGTAACCATCTTATATCTACACTTGAGGAAGAACCATTTCAGCATTAAATGTTTCTGAAGAATGTAGATTATATATATTCTATCTCCTATTAAATAAGAAGAATTTCATTGAGTTTGAAATACTTTTAATGGATAAGAGAATATTCAAATTGAAAATCTCTTGATACTATATATTAAAATAAATAAATAAATCTGTACATACTTTTTTTGTTGCTGATCGTCCTTTAATAATTTGTGCCAACGCCGTTCGTTTTTGTTTTGATGAATGTGGATTTAAACGAACCATTAATGACATATTTTTTAATGGATTTTTCTTCACTTTGCGACGTTGTTGACGTTTACTGGATACAAATATAACAGACAATATTAGCATAAATGAAATGATAAAGAGAAGAAGTGAATCTTACATTGGTGCACGTAAAACATTTTGAATTTCGGATGATGTTAATAAACGGCCAAGATCACTGTTAGTCATCATTGGCATTGGTAAACTATAAAAAGAAAAAGTGAAAAATTTGTATAAATATGAGCTGCAAAAGAATAAAAGTTTTATTCAATAAACAAACATATTTTTCACTACTTTAGTATAAAAAAGAATACCACTTAAATCGTAGAAAAGATGAAAAATAGATATTGTTGCACAGTGGTACAAGCTAAACAATATTTTTGTTATCATTTAACTATTTGTTCTGTTCAGCAATTTTTTCTAGCATTTTCTTTTTATGATCAATATTTTGATACATCAATCATGCATGAAAGAAATGCAATTTGTTAAACGAAGATCATAAAGAAACAGACTGGCTAACGTAAAAACTAAAAACATCTCGATTGATGATATTGTCCTAAATGTTTTGGATAGTGAAATAAAAGAAAGGCTCTACTAATTATTTTTAAATTTATGATAGAAAAATATATTGCTTAGTTTAACAAAGCATCAGATTTCTTTTGTCAACATAATCGGTAAACATGTGCATGTCTACCTCAGAGTTGAATTTCATCAACATCATTTGCTTCAATCTTTTAATATTGAAAAATCTCTATTTAACTAATGCAAGATCGAAAATGATAAGTTGTTACATAAACTCTTAAACTGTCCTTGACTACCATTTTGCAAAGACTCACTTGTAATCGGTTTTTCTTGTTGATTTTGTCTTCCATGTTCCATACAATTTATCTAATTCTCTAAATGCATCTTCTGTCCAAATACAAAAACGGCCAACATGACCACCAGGAGCCAAACGTAACAAATTTAAACGTTGAACACTTAATAATGTTACACCTAAAACAAGGAAACAAAATTTTATAAATAATCAGAAATTGTTTACAGGGTATAGCAAAAGAATAGAAGTCATTAAATTGCACAGACAAATGGATTTCTTTCAAAAGGTGAAATAATATTTTGAAACTTTGAACTGCACAATATATTCGAAGAACGAATGTATGTTCAAGATGAGGAAGAAATGTCCAGGTTAAAATTCTAAACATCTCCGAAGACAATGAACACAAGCAAGTTTAGTATACCTCTTTGTTTTTAAAGAATATTCCACTAGAGAAAACATCCTTTCAAGATAAGAGGTCGTAAAATTACAGAGTAAAATTTTTCTATTATCACGGAATAACATTGTGATAGTCAAACGCAAAGGTGATTAAGTGAGCGTCATTAAAATATGCGTGAACTTCACTATGCAGATCAGAGTTGAATTGTTCAATAATACATCATTCGCTCATACAAAATTAGATTAACAATATATGGATCCAATTTAACCATAAAATTCTCCAGATCCCCACAAAAACAACGGTCCATGAGAGAAAATCTCTTGATAGATTATGATACTACTCTACTACCAAAATCAGCAAAATAAATCATCAAAAACTCCAGTAACAACCATTATATTTTTACAGGAAGCTAAGGTAAACAAAAAGTTTATTCTCTCGTTTATGATTACCAGGAATGTTTCTGAATGCTTTTTTAATTCCATGATCTGTATGGTAAATGATGACAGGACCACGTTTCATCACTGTCCGCCGATTACGCATTTTGCCTTTACCAGCACGAGTATGTTTTGATGCATAAACCTAGGTATAAAAAACATAAAAAAAGACTCAGTGAGCAAGTAATGATAAAGAAAACAAATAGATCTAAACAGTCAAAACAAAACTCTATGCGAATTTATTTCAACATAAGCACAACTCTTTCTGTTTTACTGTCGTTGCTTTAGAACAAAACTGTTAGCATTTGAATAGTATCTGTTTAAGTGATGGCTGAGAGGACAATCATTGCTAAATCGATCATACCTTTAGAATATCTTGCCATGCTCCCAGTTTTCTTAACACAGCAACAGCTTCTTTTGTTTTTCGTAAACTTTCAACATCTTTGGACAATACAAGTGGAATTTCGGGTACATTTTCGATACTGTGGCCTTAAAAGACAAAAATAACATAATTTAAAAAAGATTGCAAAAAAGCAAATCCTTAATCAGTTAAATAATTAAAACATACCTTTTGCCATAATAAGTGAGGGTACTCCACTGGCTGCAATGGCTGATACAATAGCATATCGTCGTTGATTCAAATTAATTTTTCTATGCCATTTGCGCCAGATTTTTGTTGGTGCATACATTCTTCCACCACGACACATATTACCGAACGCTCCCTGGCCACTTCGATGAGTACCACCACCACGAACACGAGGAATACGTGCTACCGCACGACCAGTACCCCATGATTGAGCACTTGTTTGTTCACCTACAGAGACAAAAACCACAAATAGTCTCGTTTCATGTATTTTTATGGTCAAAGTACAGCACAAATTTGACATTAACGTAAAGTAACCTCCTAACACTCTTTGAATATGTTAGTGATGTAAAAAAAGTGATCTGCAGAACCTTCCCACACTTCTGGTGTATTTTTTTTCTTTCGAAGTCATATTTAATCGCATTTAGTACACACACTTACCAGCTTTATTACTAACAGCATGTGCTTGGCGTTTATTTCTTCTCATTTGATCATGAACAAAATTAACAATGTCTGTACGAATTGGTGCACGAAATACAACTGGTAACGCGATCTGTTTACCGGTTGATTGACCTTTTCCATCATATATACTGACAAGCGGTCTTGATGCTGCCTGAAATGAAAAAAATCTACTATTATTCACCATCTAAGAATAGCAGTAGTCTTGCAAAAAAGATATCGTAGAACTTTTTCACGAAAAGAACACGGATCGAACGACTTAACTATCGTAGTTTCATAGATAAATAAAAGTAGATGAAAAGTATGCGAAAAAATAAAATAACTTCAGATCCAGTCGAAAAAGCTTAAAGTGGAAAATCCAGATTCATGGATCAACAAAAACATTATTAAAGCCTCCATAACCTTTTTCACTGATCTCGATTTTTATAAAAACAAATATCTTACCATTTTCAATAGTTTTCAAGTATACTAAAAATTTGATTAGTACTACACGGATGTAAAATTTCAAGCAAAGGATTTCAGCAGAAGGGCACTTTCGGTCTTATTCAGCAAGCAAGTAAGGGGGGTACCATTCAAACCAATCGGTGTAAACAAATGAGAGGTTTAAGGACAATGTGAAAAGATGAACTTTTTATTTTTATAGAAAAAGTATATATTAACATTAAATAAGAGGTGTTACCCGTCAGGTTATTTGTGATAATTGTCAATGCATAAGTGTGTTGCTGACATGCAGTTATAATCTTTGTGGAGGATTAATTCAAAAATTGAATTAGCTTAAGTTTACAGCCCTACTACGATACAGTACAACACTTCTTTTAATGCCAACCTAATCAATGCCAAAAATATGAATGTCGCAGGGAAATACTCATGTAACAAAGACTTAATTGTTATTTTTATTACAAGATCAAAATTTTCCCATCGAGTTCCGCGTGTGTAGCGGTAATTGAAATTTCTTTGCTATAATATCGCAAGAAAACGTTACCTTGAACGTTTTTAACCGTCAACTTTTGTTATCATGATTTTGAACTCTCGCTATAATGTTACATTTTTGCCGTTGCAAACGCATGCCGTTACACCTGGATATTTTTCTTCATTTCAGTACCATGTTCTTGTTATGAAATTTTTTTATAAAACATAACGAAGTAGATGTTTTTCTCATTTAATTATTTACACGAATGTGTGCATAATATGATATGATGATATAAATAATTATTTGTAAGTGTGACAATAAAAATAATAACTATTCGTATACGAAAAGTAAGAGATCATCAAAGAGCCGCGCCAAACAAATAAAAGAGATAGAAAGAACAGACAAAAACAGTATATGACCAGAAAAAACGGAAGAAGACGAAATAAAAAGCAAATAAATGAAACAAAACCAGACATGATAGTCAAATTTGTTACATATAATATCTTGCAAAACATGAAAATTAACTTTCATTTCGTAATGACTAAATTAGTAATTTATTGTTTTCTTGTGTTTTATACTGTGAACTTTTTTTCGGCTTTTCAAACTCGACTTTAATTGAACTAAACAAATCTGTTTTACAGTCGCTCGAGGCAGCGTTTCTGTATGGTGTTTGACGTATATATTGTCAACTTAGTCGAGTGAAGATTTATGAAAAAGTAGTCTAACGAACTGCGCGCGTATAGTAAGAATCAATCCAAGTTTCTAAGGTTTGAACTTTGTAAAAAAACTTGGTGTTTTTAATCTTGGAATTTTTTTTCTTAGAAATCATACTAAACTGATTACAGAAAAATTGTTTCATTGCTGCTTTTATTAACATTTTTTCTTTCTTAAGAATATCCAACAACTGAGTCGACGTTTTGCGCTGAAAGTTCAATACTACATTAATCTGTAATGAAAATGAATGTAAAATGAGATCTATGCAAAAATGAAGTGTAAAAATGAAGCATTTCCTCTTCTTTGCTCAGGTGTCGATGGAGTCAAGAGTGCAAAAACTATGGAAAGCATAAAATAACGTTAACAATAATTTTTTTGGTTCTAAACTTCTAGTTATGCTCCGGATTAAAAAAGAATGAGCCATTTTACAAAATTCTTTTTTTTAATTCTATTTCTTAAAGACCGATTTTTTATTATAGTAAAAACGTGACATGCTAGGTTACTTTCTGTCGAAGAATGCAACGGAGAAAATGTTGCATATAATAGTAAAGAGATGAGTTTACAAGCGATGATACCAGTAGCATAGAACTCTTAGTTTTGGATCAATAGTACACTTTAAGTTTTTGATTGTATCATGTTAAATTAGTGATGTATGACCGTTTCACGCACTTAAGAATTGATAAAAATAATGCTAATAAGAATTTTGATCTACTTTTTTCTGTTTTCATTTATTTGAAGATGAAATTATCTTTGACTTACATACGACATACTACTGATCTCAAACAATGACAACAACGACAATCAATCGTTTATTTTTCACGATTAAAATTCTTGCGATATCTTTTTGAATCGCAAATGCAAATAAACAGTACACTCGTCTCAACGTAAGTTACCCTATATCTGTTTTTAATATAACTAGATAATACACTCTGAGTTAATTTCCTATCCTCAGTCTTCAATGTAATCTAAAACTTATGTACACCTACTTTTGAAATATAATTTTTATCTTTAATAGAGATGGTTTTGAGTACGAATAGTAGAGTTTTAACAGTAGCGAATAAACTCATTCCAATTTTATTTCGAGCTTTCGAATAATGAAACTATAGGTTTTGAAAGCTCGAAATAAAATTGGAATGAGTTTATTCGCTGCTGTTAAAACTCTAATATTCGTACTTTTGAGATTTAGTATTCAACACTATGAACCCTCTTTATATGATTTAGTTCATGCTCATCTGTTTTTCCAACATTAACAACAACAGTCTTATCCTGTCGACAATTGTTTATCATTTTTACAACAAAATTACTGATTATTATTCCCTCGTATATTGTCTGTCTCATTTTCTTACTTTTAATAATTTGTTTGTGTAAAATATTTTATGATTATATTCGACATCGGAGACGAAAGAAAACAATTGAGAATAATACTGAAAAACAACAACTAAGTGTAAATGATGTCAATATTAAACAATCATCTTCGTTAACCGCACTTGATTCATCTTAGTTCTCATTTTTGAATTTTGTTTTTCCCGATTCTGGAACCGGTGATTTCTTTTATCTATGAAATAGTCTCATAAGTCTCTCTTTTTTCTTGTATTTAAATACAGATATTCAATATGTCAGAATATATAAATGTAAACAGAACTTTATATGTTATACTCATCAATTTTTAATAAACTACTTGATGGGTTTTATTCTAATGAGGGAACATTAAGTATCCAATCGCTTTCTGATTGAAACATACTTTTTTTAAGGTTTCTTTAATACGGATCTGATAGTCATTTATGTCTTTAGATCTTTCTGGATTGTTTTGTGGGAACCTGGTGCCTGAGAAGTCATCATGGATTTTCATCTGAACACATTCTGACGACTCTAGATTGTAGACCATGTGAAACTACCTCTGGAATTACAAAAAGAGTTGTCTAAAAAAAATCCGTTTTTTAATTCCTGAGGTAGTTTCACATGGTCTACAATCTAGAGTCGTCAGAATGTGTTCAGATGAAAATCCACGATGACTTCTCAGACACCAGGTTCCCACAAAACAATCCAGAAAGATCTAAAGACATAAATGACTATCAGATCCGTATTAAAGAAACCTTAAAAAAAGTATGTTTCAATCAGAAAGTGATTGGATACCTTAGTAGTTTACTCATTAGAGTAAGTTTGTATTTTCTGAAATCATTGTTATTCTTCGAAACCGTTTGATTAACAGATCTAACTGAAAAGTAAATTATGTTACACCATTTTCATATCACCATGTTAGTTTAGATTGCTCAAATTATCAAAGAAACGGTGAAGTTAGAAGGGCGGAAGCGGTGAATGCACACAAATGACGAAAATTAAAACATAACCGCAACGGTATAAGTACAAAATCTTAAGGACTCTGCAATTAGCGCAAAAAGTTATTTGTTTTCGATTTGTGATGGCCAACTTAAGTTAACATTGGTAAGACATCCACTGCTAGTATTACTATATAGTGTTGGATAGTATGATGCTGTCTCGCCACTCATTTCAAGCTATCCCGCAAATGTTCTATAGTTAAGTCAAAACTTGAAGAGTTTGAATATAGAAGACAGTTTTCATTTTTGAACTAAAAGCCATGTTTTACGAAATATTTTTAATCAGCGTAGTCGGATTAGTCTGTAACATAGATATTTCAAGTTCAATTAATGTTAACGTAACTTGGCCATCACAAATCAAAAACAAATAATTTTTTACGCTAATTGCAGAGTCCTTAAGATTTTGTACTTATACCGTCGTATTAGATTTGCTGATCTGACTCTGCTGATCTCATAGGTTATGTTTTAATTTTCGTTATTTGGACATTCACCTCTTCGTTTTCGCTCTTCCAACTTTTCGTCCTTTCTTAGATATACCAACTTCGCTCATCAATTTCAGATTGTTTTGTTCTTCGTCTCGTTTATTGTCAGCAGTTACGTTCAAAATTACGCGTGAGATATTGAAAGTTCGTCGAGTTTGCCTGCTCAGGTATATCAATCTAATGGTGCTGAAAGCAATCCTGTTAGATTCTATGATGGATGTTAGATAGTCACATATTCAAAAGGTGAGTCATACCTGATGGATGCGAATGCAAGTTTACGTTCATATATTCGAAAAAACAAAATATTCGCATTACCAAAATGAACGAAAATTATATTGACGAGATCCAAAATACAAGCAATTTGTGAATGTTATGCGATTCGAAAGTAAGTAGGATGTTAAACATTTTGTAGCAGCGAGTAATGCCGACACGTTAAATCTATGCTTCTATTTCTCGAATGTTGTTCTATAAGAATTAGTGTAAGTACGACTCGTTCGTCATTTTTGTAGAACTCTAATGGATATGTTTTGATATTAAAAGTTAGTCAGTTTAAGAATATTTTATCCTTTGTTCATACATCCAATAACACACAGGACATTCGCTCAATATAATAGCGATTGTGTATGTATGTAGTTGATACACTGAAAAGATTAGATAGAGCACTGGCCAACACGTCAGTTTTTGGAGCACTACAGAACAGTAGTAACTGCTGCTGGTGTATTATGTTGACTTAAGTAAATTAAACGTGGTTATTCAGAAAACTTTTTCAATTACTAGTTACATAAAAATTTTATATTTACGAATATAATGAAATATATGTTTGTAATAGCTGTATAGTTCTTTTCATGATATCACTTTAACAGGAATTCATGATTATCGACACACTGACGTCAATCATTATATGATGTATTTTTTTTTCAAGAAGACACAAACACCGTATAGTACCGAGTATTTTATGCTCTCAATTATTCGTGCGATTCACAGTGGGCAATTTTGCCTAGGCAT